CGTTCAGTGTGGATAAGCGCAAGGTCTTGCACTTGGGGCATAGGAATGGGTGTCATAAGTACAGGTCAGGGGACAAGTGGCTGGAGAGCAGCACTTGTGAAAGGGACCTCGGGGTGCTGGTTGACTGCAGGCTGAACATGAGCCAGCAGTGTGATGTGGTGGTCGAGAGGGCGAACGCCACCCTTGGTTGCATAGCCAGAAGTGTGGCTTCTAGATCGAGAGAGGTGTTACTACCACTCTATATGACTCTGGTGTGCCCGCAACTGGAGTATTGTGCTCAGTTTTGGGCCCCTCATTGCAGGAAGGATATAGCCAGGTTGGAGTCAGTGCAGCGTAGGGCCACAAGGTTGGTGGCCGGTTTGCAGGGGAAGCCGTATGAGGCGAGACTGAGGGAACTGGGTCTCTTCAGCCTGGAGAAGAGGAGACTCAGGGGGGATTTGTTGGCGACATACAGGTACGTGAGGGGATATCACATGGAGATGGGTAGAGGCCTGTTCTCCCCTGCAGAGGAAGGCAGGATGCGCTCCAACGGAGCCAAGCTCAGGGAACCCAGGTTCCATTTAGATGCTGGGAAGCACTTCCTGACAGTTGGGACCCCGAGGGTGTGGAATGGGCTTTCACGGGAGGTGGTTGAGGCCCCATCGGTGAAGGTGTTCAAGGATAGGCTGGTCATGCACATGGTGGGCATGTTGTGAGTGGAGCCGGCTGGAGCCGGGGGTTGGACTGGATGACCCGGGAGGCCCCTTCTGACTCGCTTGGCTTCTATGCTTCTAAACCACATAGCTTACTGGGAAAAGTTGGGGCTAGTCATCATCTTTCAGCCTAACCTACCTCACAGGCAGAGGTGGAGTGGGCTGCGAAGACTAAATGGACAAGCACGCATGCTGCTTGGAGCGACTTCGAGAAAGAGTGGGAGTGTTGGAATCGCTGTTCAGAGCAGCATCAACCGCAAGCTATCCTGCTGCACCTCAATGCCCCTTGTGGACATCGGGCAGGAGGCTGAGCGATGAGGCTTTGCACCGAGGGACAAAACTGTGCTGCATCCGAAAGGAGCTTCCTGAAAATCCGAGGCGGGTGCTTTGGCTCGAGAGCCTTGCGATTAGCAGGGCAAAACCAACTCCTCCCGCAGAGCTGCTGAGGCTCAAACTGGGGCTGCAGTGCTTCTTCAGATGACGAATCAGGGACAGTCGGTCACTGAACTGGACGTTTCGGATGCATGGCCAGCCCGACCAGTGACTGCAGGCACGGTCTGACCCATCCACACCGTGGGGCAGTGCTCCAGTGCTGGCCATAAGCGGGAAGTGAAAAGTGGGGCAATGTCTCTTTAAGAGGCAGGCAGCTCCTCAGAGGGACCAGGGGAAAGAGCAGGGCCAGATCAGGCAGGCTTCCTAACGCCCCGGAAGTCCTCTGCGTGGTGCTGAGACAACAGTTCTTCTCCGGCAAGGGCCCGCCAGTGTGGCTCTGCCCAGGGTCCTGACAGACCCTGCCTGGCCTGGCCACCCTGCTTCACTTGGCTTGGCTTGGCTTGGCCTCTCCTTTGCCAAGCTTCCTTGGCTAAGCCTCAGCTCTCCTGTGAACCGTGAGCACTGCTGAACGGGACCCTCACCCAGGACCCCCGCCTGCTTGGATCCTGCCCTGCCACTGGCCCTGCCTGGCCACCCATAATCCTCATCTTCTCCTGCGCAGGTGCGGGGGGAGGGGAATGAACCCACTCCAGCTGGATCAGGGAGGGCAGGATTCCAGCTCTTTCCCCAGACTTTCCATAGCCCAGTTCCTCGACCTGCAACTCCCTCACTGGGCTGAGGTGCACCAAAGGGTACTCACTCAACGTGCGTCACGTTCCGCATTTCTGAAAACGCTGCCGTGAGTTCTTTCATTCCAGCACTGTGAATCTTGTTGAAGCTTAAACTGTAACAGAAAAGCCAGGATTCATAGGTAAACAGCCATGCTAGCGGTTCTAGTTCTGGAACAGGCAAACACTGGGGCTTGCGAGATCTAATCTGGTTCTAGAGAAACTTCAAGATACCCCAGTGGGAGGTCATTGCGCATCAACACCTACAATCCCGCACACCTGAGCACAAGCTTATGCTGCTAGCACCCCGTTCTGAAATAAATCGAAGGTGCACCCACTCTTGGAACACAGTGCCCATTGTCGCACTTGGGCAAGAAAGTCAGAGAGCTGGAAAAGGGCCCAGCAAAAGGATCACGGGGCTGGAGCAATTCCCCTGAGAGGCAACGGTGCAGCATCTGGGACCGCTTAGGCCAGGGAAGAGGCCAGGTGTGAAGGATGGCATGGCGTGGCGGTGTTTCTCTCGCTTTTCCCCGGGGATTTATCCCACAAGGCTAATCAGTGGGAGATTCAGGACCGATAAAAAGGCTCCTTCGCATAGCGCATGGTTAGCGACGGAATGCGTTTCTCAAGAGGGAGGGATAGTCACCATGCGGGTGGCTGTCAAAGGGATGGAGCAGATCCATGGAAGATGAGACTCTCCATGGAGACACCGCCATCCAGTCCGGCAGCCAAGCCAGTGCGTCTCTCAGTCCCAGGCAGCCGGTGGGCCACTGAATGGGGGCTACTCAGCCCCTTGGGGCTCTTCTTGTTCTCCGGATAAGGTTACACCAGTCCGGCACTAGATTGGTGCAGAAAACAAGGGCCAAAACTGGATGAGTGCAAGCTTATCAGACAGCTGCTTGGCAGGCCGGTATGCAGAAATATGCACAGCGATGTGAGAGGGGAGGGGAATTAAGCCCACCCCTCTGCCGCCTGTTCACCTTAGCTGCCCCCAGTCTGCCACCTTAAGGCATTTTCTCCCTGCTGGTTTGCTATTACTTATAGCGAAACAAAAACACAGAACAACCACAACAAAACATAGAGCTGCTCTGGACCCATCAGAGATACGCTGAATGGGTCTTCAATTTATTACTAATAATATCTATTTAAACATATACGCTCACACAGAAATGCTGAATATTTATCTATTGACTTGCTTGTGGCATTCAAGTCAGCCCGAGGAAAACCTCTCAGAGTAAATCTTGCAGATCTGGGACCAATGCATCCAGCTGGTCAGCTGTGCATATTTTAGCTGTCTCCCCTTGGGGTGATTGGACCAGGTTCTAAGTGCCACATTTAGGTGGAAAACTGGGATAGAAATACATGAAACAAAGAAAAGGAAGTAAAAAGCATGGACCTACTCGACTTCTTTCATGTGAATGGCCTTCTTCAAAACTTCTGCAAGGCGCAAACAGGCCTCACTCCCCAGATGGTTATTGCTCAAACTGGGAAACGGAATAAAACACAAAAACATTCCCTTAATTAATCTGTAGAAGACCATGGTGCTCCAACCAGGGAATCTTTCTTAGGAGTCAGAGTGATCTGGGGCTTGTACCACAACTTCCATCATCCCCAGGTAGCATGCCTGGTGGGGATTATGGGAGGTGTAGTCAAACAGTAGGAAATACAACAAGTGTACCAGCAGCCATCACTCTGTGCCCTTTTCCTGCAGGCAGAGTGTAGTCCTAGTTTCTCAACTTATTATTTTAAACGCCTTTTGGGGGATGTTAGGAGTGGCCTGGAATGGCCCATGCTGCCTGATTCCATCCTTCCCAGGCCCAAGGGGAAGAAACGTCTCTTTTTCAGCTGGCTGCTGCTCACTCCCGAAGTCGAAGCCCACGCTGCCCGGACGCTGGCTGTGCAAGACAAGGTCGCCTCAAGGACAAGTCCCTCCAGTTAGCAACCCTTTTCGCGTGCCTAAACTTCCAGCGAAGTGCCCCAAACTGGTTTCCACATCTTTCTAGAGGCAGGTGGCCCATAATCTGCCGATTCGGAAGCCTGAAGGACCCCAGCTTTAAGAGAGGACCTGCAGTCCATCAAACCCGCTTGATGTAGGAAAGTCCAGGCATAAAACCCCCCCAACTGTTGTTGTCGGGCTCTGCCCAAAACCCTCTGGCAAGGAAAACGGTCCTTCTCTCGGCTTCATGTGTAAGAGGTTCCCTGATTTGCTGGGCAAGTCAGAGGCATTAGAAGGAGCAATAGAATGGACTGCAGCTCTGCTTCAACGCCTTTGTTGTCACAGTTCCAAGCCCTGCATTTCCAGGCAGGTGAGCAAGATCTGACCAAAACCCTGGTGTGCTGCTGCCAGTCAGCGTTGGCAGTCCTGGCCCAGATGGACCAAAGGTCCCGTTCAGTACAAGGCCACCAGTTCTTTCCCCAGAACAGTGATGCTGCCATTCTCCAGCAGACAGAAGCTGACCATTCTTAACACCAGTGTAAGTTCTCATTAATAACCATACTTACACCAGTCTTCTCAAGAGAGGCATCATGGAGAGTGTTGAAATCAGCGTCAGAATATTTGCATTGTCAAGACTGAGAGAGCTAAGGCTGAGGAAAAAGAGAAGCGTGTGAAGCAGGGATAGAAACATAGAAACAGAGCGACTCAGAAGGGTCTCCTGGGCCATCTAGTCTGACCCCCGGCTCCAGCCGGCTCCACTCGCGACATCTGGAACTCATGGCCACTGGCGACAATGTCGGCATTTGGGCATCACAAGTGAGGGATTCCAGGACTTCATCTGGGTGAAACTGCAGTGCTTTGCCACCACATCTACGCTCCCCCTTGTCATCCAGGAAAAGAGCGCTAGAAGGGCATGCAAACAGAGCACGAGCTTCCAAACCTTGCAGCAAGAAGCTCTGGGGGGAAAACAGCCCAGTTTTTGAGAGAGAGAATGTATGTGTGACTGATGGACAGATGCAATTGAGAGAGAGAAGAAATCTCTCTCCAATCAGGCCTGGTAATTGTTGAGGAGCTTAATGTCAGAATGACTTGGGGAGAATAGAGCCGTCTGTGACATTTTGCTTGGCCTAAAGATGGTGTTGAGCTAAAAGGGACTTTGAATTTCTGTATGGAGGACATGGCTAGCTTTGCTTTTGCATGTGACCTGGAGAAGGCTTGTTTACGCCATTCTGCCAGCACAACCAACATTGGTGGGAGAGGGATTTCATTCTACCTGGAGCAGGAAATTCATTCCACCCATTCAACTATTAGATTAAATGACTCATTCTTCCCTTTACTTCCTTTGAGAAAATGTATTGCAGCATCCATTTTTTTTCTAGTTTTATTAATATAAAGGCTGCTCAGTTTCTCACAGTGTCCCACTAAGTAAAAGGGCTCATTCTATCTGATCTGGGATGGAGACGTTTCTGAGTAACGTCGGACTTTATTTTATTTTTTTAAATTGAAAATTTCCAACCTAATAAAACTATTGCTCCAATACTGACCAAAAAGTGGACATTTTTGGACAAGAGAATTCCAGAGAGAGATTGAATGTAATTTATCAAGAAATTCAATTTGGTTAATTATTTATTTATTCCATTTTTATTCCTCCCAATAGCTGAAGCTCATTGGGTAGTTTGCAACAGTTTGTAAGGAGACAGTACAAGAAAGTGCTCCAAACTTTTCTGGAATACAAAAATGTGAAAACAATTTAAAAACAACAAAAACAATACATGATACGGAGTAGTTCTGTAAAACACCTGGAATGGGTATGTCAGTCAAGCCATTAAACATCCTTGGATGTCTTTAAACGGTAGTTTAATTTAATTTAATGGTAATTTATTATGTTCTATTGTATTTCAATGTATTTTATTGTGTTGTAAGCCGCCCCGAGGCTTCGGCAAGGGGCGGCATAGAAATGTTATAATAATAATAATAATAATAATAATAATAATAATAATAATAATAATAATAATAAATGGCATGGCACAGAGGGCTCTCGTAACTGGGTGCTGAAAGGATAGCAAGATTGACTCCAGGCAGAACTGAGTGGGAAGAGCGTTCCCTAGATGGGGGCCACCACTGCGAAGGCCCTTCCCTTTGCTGCTGTCTTTCCCGCTCAGTGCCCAGATGTGTGTGCTAACCCTTATGGCCTGAGATAGGATAGCAAGGTTTTTATCCTGCTGCAGGTATGAATTAACACACCAGTGTTTGTGTTATCATTAGCACAACTCCTGATAACAAGTGGCGCACTTGCAAAAGGTTCTGCCACAGTACATGAGTTAGCATTTAAAGCAGGGCTGTGGAATCTCTTCCAGCAGAAAGGCCAAATTTGATGTTGGAAAAGCTCTGAGGATGCATTCTGGGGAAAGCTAGGGGGCTGAAGGCAAATGAGGTGGGGCTGGAGTGCCCTGGGCAACAGCCCAGGAGCCCCAGCTGAGCTTAGCCTGAAGCTCATCTGGCCAGAGAGCAAACTCTGAAGGGGCATTTCGACATCGCAGGATCCAGGGAGGGGGGACTGGAGCTCCAGGGAAGGGTGTGTGTGCCCATCTGGGGCACACAGACCTGAGACTCCCCACCCCTTCTTTAAGGGGATCAGCCCCCAAATCCACCCTAATCCGGCATGCTATTAGCCCCTGTGGCCAGCCAAAGGTCTTTGGGAAACCCACCAGCATGTACAGGAGAGGCAGTGTGGTGTAGTGGTTAAGACCGTGGAACTGGGACTCAGGCGATCTAGAGCCATGGAGCCAATTAGGTGACTTTGGGCCAGTCTCAGCACAGCCTACCTCACAGGGTTGTTGCTTTGGGGATAAGATGGAGAGCAGGAGGAGGGGAATGATGTAAGCAGCTTTGATTTTTAAAAGGTGGGGTATAAATCTAATGAATAAATAAATGAATATGAAGGTATGTGTCCTTCTCCCGTGTTGGCACACAACTCAGCATCCTGCCTGTGTAGATGGAGCCTCCAAATGAAGCATGCTTGGCTCACCACGGCCTGTTTTGGAGTCCCCTTGCCTTACGCGGAAGCCAAGACCTCGCTCTGGGCACGACGGCGGGGTGGCGCATACCCAGTCCAGGCCTGCTTGTTCCAAAGCCCCCAGGTGCCATTTCCGGCATGGGAATGAGCGCCACTGAACGCAGCAGGGGCTGCTTCCAGGCAAGCGCACCTGGGATGAGGAATGTTGGAGCAATGCACAAGGGACTCAGAGCAGTCCAGATCTCCATGAATCTGTGCAGTGGGTACCTGGCTGTGCACAATCTCAGCCTGGAGGGGATGTTTTTCGAAAATAAATGTGGGGAGGCATCCATGCAAATTCACACTGGGCTGATGTGCAGTAACCCAGGTGTGTGTTTGTGTGAGTGGCAAGAAATTCTTGTCCGTCCCCTCGGGAAAGGGGGAAAGGGGGAAAGGATTCCGGTTCCATCAGTGAGTGGCTGATGGAATGGCAGTGCATACCTCTCTATCTAGGACTGCACTGCACTGCACAGCAGTGGCATCAGCCCTCTCCCACCCGGTGCTCTCCAGATGTATTGGAGGCCAACCCCATCATCCCCAGCCACCGGAGCCCTGCTAGCTGGAGACTGAAGGAGTGGCATCTCCCCCTGCCCGCACCCCCCCCCCCCCGCTGCATGGCAACTTACTTCATGCTCTGCAAGTGATGCTTCCCCTCCAGAGCCGTCAGGAGCGGGCCCACGCCATCCGCGCTGAGTTCGCTTTTGGACAGGCTGTGGAGGAGCACAGTCAGCCCACGCGCTCGGGGGGGGGGGAGGGATGCATGCAGCACGTTCCTCTTCTCCCTTCTGTTTTGCGGAACGGGCAACGCCCGTGCGCCTCCAAATTTCGATGGCTACAACCTGGCCCTCCTGCTTCATGCGCTCCCTTCCTCTCCCACCCTTTTTCTAGACAGAAGAGGGACTCAGGGTCGGAGCCCCACTGCTCAGAAGCCCCCGCTTTGGAGAGTCCCACCCAGGAAGAGCCACGGAGGCGATCCTTGCCCTTCCCTCCTCCGATCTTCCGTTATTTCACTAGAAGGGCTTTTTGGCCCCTTCCTGCTGGAGTGGGGAGGTGGGCGGAGAAGGCACAGAATGATCAGCACCCCGTCCTTCTGGTTCCCCCGCCCCACCCACCGAAAGACCCTTTTCCCTCTCCCCAAGGCCGGTTTTCAAAATCAACAAATCCACAGACAACTGCAATCAAAATGTGCTCCAGAGTCCGCCTAACTAACAGCAAAAGCGGAGGAGAGATTCTATTCCAGAGGTGGAGGGGGTCTTCCCCCCCACCCCCTGTTCTGTTTGTGATCTTGCCATTGTTCTTCTGGGTGTGCCTGATTCAATTTGAGCATTGAGCTTTTCTGGGAGTCCGTGCTGCAAACAGCCACGGCTCTTGCACACCCCTTTCAGCATCCTGAACAACCGCTGTGTGTCTCCTGGTTGTGCAAAAAAGCTAGACGATGAGGAACGTTTCTCGTTCCTCGCTAGGAGAATAAAGCAGCTCTGATGGCTTCCACCAGACAGCTTTCAGTGGATATGGGGGTGAAAGGGCGCGTATAATAGCCAATGGCAGGCTGGAAAGTCCACTTACTCGAGGTCTTCAATGGCGTGACAGTGATGCAAAGCGGCCGCCAGGCACTTCATGCCCGCAGAAGGTATCCTGCAACACGTGATCCTGGAAATTTAGAAAGACAGCAGTTAAGAACAAGCAGCCTTGGGAAATGGCCATGAGGCAGCCGTAGGCCGTATGAAGTCAAGGATGTCCTCTCCCCTTCTGGACTGCGAGTACGAGCAGCTTAGCGGCATCTGTGGCGGATGGACGGACGGACAGACATTCCAGGTGAAAAAGAGGATGGGCAGGATGCAACTGCTTTGCTTTCTGGTATCTGACAAGGAGACGATGGATAAAGTCGCCTTACGATCCGGGTTCGAGTCCCTGCTCAGCCATGGAGCCAACCGGGTGACTTTGGGCCAGTCACAGACTCTCAGCCCAACCTACCTCACAGGGTTGCTGTTGTGGGGATAAGATGGAGGAGGAGAGATGATGTAAGCTGCCTTGAGCCCCTTGAAGGAAAAAGGCAGGATATAAATCCATAAATAAATAAATAAAATAATAAAATCCACAGGGACTGTTCTCTAGCCTTGGAGACACTGGGCTGTTTTTCATATGCATTTTTTAAGAACCGCATCTCTGTCCAAAATATTTAGAACAGGGATGGGGCATGTGCAGCTCTCCGGAAACTGCTGGACTGCAGCTCCCATCATCCCTCATCTTTGGCTATGCTGGCTAGGGCTGATGGGAGTTGTGGTCCAAGAATATTTGGGGATCGCATCTTCCCCACCTCTGCCTGATAGTCTGTGTCAGCCTTTCCCAGCCTGGTACCCTCCAGACTCATTGGACCAGAACTGCCATCACCAAACCAAGATGGTGGACAACAATAGTGGCATAGTCCAGATGGGGAAGCCTGGACCACACGCTCTTCCACGGAGGTGCCCAGGCACCGTGGCAGTTACAGGAGGGGCGTGTGCAGCTGCAGGCCTTCCCGGAAGGTCTCCTTGCCAGGCACAGAACGGAGCAGCCAGCCCTTGGCCGGGCGTACCTGAGTCTCTTCAGCGCTGGGAAGTGGAACAGGGTGTCAAACGTGAGAGCTGCTTCTGCATCGGTGAGTTGCACCTGAGACCAGCTGAAAGGACAAAGTGAGCCTGTGAGGAATCGGCAGGTGTTCGCTGGGCAAAGGATGACGTGAGGTTGGGAAGGACCCTGCAGGTACGCCAGTGCCCCTCTTTCCGTCTGGCTTTCCAGCCGGGTTGAACCTGACCTTATAAGAGACACAGAATTTGCGATACAAGGCAAACCGAACCCGTCCGGCAAATATTGAGTGCCCAGCTTTTGCATTTATATTAATGATGGCAGTCATTTGTCCATCATTTATTTCCATTGGAAATGGAATATTAAAGAATTAATGACACATTTATTAACAGCTGTAAGATTAATAATAGCAAAGAATTGGAAGGAAAACTGTGATTTCCAGTTAAGTGAATGGTATAAGGAAATTCAGAATATACCTATAAATAACAGCTAGCGTGTAGTATTAAGGTGAAAAAAAGGGTGGACATAAAGGAACAAGTTATGACTTTGGGGGTTATTTATTGAATATGTATTAACAAAAGGGAAGGGTATTAAACTTTCATATGATTCATATGATTCAGTGCAATCTGGGATGTGGAAGGGGTCTTCCTGAGAGAGGGAAAGTAAAGAAGAGGAGAGGGACATATATATCCATAAATAAATAAATATTGCATACCTGAAGGCGCGGAAATGCACCTTTTGTGTTCAGTAGCACATAATTTAATTATGAATTGCTTTAATTGGCTTGATTCAATTAATTTGTATTGTAGGGGTTTTTCTTTTTTACTTTTTTGTCATTTTGGTGCATTTTTGTATTTGTATTGTAACGAAGTCGGTTAATTAATATAAAGTTATTTTTAAAAAGCACAGTGGGCAAGGCTTTCTGGAGGAGGCCATCATGCCAGGGAAGGCTGAAGGCAGGCAAGGAGAGGACAGCCAAAGATGAGATAGTCCTTCCCCCAGGATGCCCCTGAGCAGGGCTGTCTAGGGAAGGGCTTTCTGGGGAGTCTCATCCATAGGGGCACCATAAGTCGGAGACGACTTGACGGCTCATCGTGGCAACAAGAATGAAGCCGGGACTCCCGGGGCGCTCCAAGCACGCTCGGTCGTGCGGAGACCTGGATCCTTGCCTAGCCCATGCAAACTCCTCTGGAGCCTTAGCTGGGCTCCTCACAGCAGCCGGGTGAGAAATGGCGTTTCCCAGCAACGGTATACAGGGGCTGCCAAAAAACGTCTACACATTTCAGAAAGGAAAGATTGTGCTCCTCAATACATGCTGATAATGAAGGATGAATACGAGTCATATTTGACTTCACATTTGACACATTTCAAGGGATGCGCAAAGTGGTTCCCATCAGCATCCAAACACTTCTGATTACAGCCGATTCCTGCTTGAGCGATGTTGACTGAAGCCCATCTGGATCACTGTGCTTGCCGTTTCGGTTTCCTCCTGAAGCACCGCCATCTTTTGAGCAAACGTCATTCTACTCATTGTGACCGTAACCCAATTCAGTTTTGGATTACACTGTGCTCCCCAGAGAGCCCCTCCTGGCACCGGTACGTTGTACTCCTTCCAGCGCCAGGTAAAGACCTTTTTATTCAGCCATCATTTTAATATGGGCAGATTTAACTTCGTCTGGAAGGGAAAAATCAGGAAAAGAGACTTCCTCTGCCCCTGATATTGGGAGGAAATCCTCATGGGTACGAAGGGAACTTGGGAATGCAGCAAGAGAGGAAAAGCACAAACCAGCTTTGGAAGAGGGGCAGAAGCTTAAATCCCCTTCCACTCCCTGGCATTTCTGTTCACTCTCTCCCCCCGCCCACACACATAGCCCTGATTGCCTCGCTAACAACGAGCAGGTTAAATGTGAAACGCATCTGCCATGGTAAGTGGTTGGACTTTTAAATATTCCTTCCGCCAGGGGAAAATAATTCATCATTGTCATGGATATCTTCTGGAAATTAAACTCATTTTAATTTAATTTAATTCAACTCATTTTAATTAAACTGGCTCCCCATCGAAGTCCGGGCCCAATTCAAGGTGCTGGTTATCACCTACAAAGCCCTTAACGGCTTGGGACCTGGATACCTGAAGGAACGCCTGCTTCCGTATTTGCCCTCCCGCCCCCCAAGATCGGCGGCAGAGGCCCTTCTCCAGGAGCCCTCCATGAAGGACATTAGGAGGGTGAGTACCCGGAGGAGGGCCTTCTCTGCGGTGGCACCCCATCTATGGAACGCGCTCCCCAGAGAGGTCCGCCTGGCGCCGTTGTTATTTGCTTTTCGGCGCCAGGCCAAGACCTTTTTATTTAAATGATATTTTAATTGTTAATTTGTTGTTCTTATTGATTGGTTTTAAATTATGGCCGAGATACTCCGAATTTTTAATGTTATCCTATTCTATGTTTTATCTGCCTTGTAAGCTGCTCAGAGGCTTTCTGCGATGGGTGTGGCCTAAAAACGTTATAAATAAATAAATAAATAAAATGCCCGTGTTCATTTGCACCGAGTATCACAAACAAAAATTGCTTATCCTCTGCCGCAAATAAAAGAACCCATTGTAACCATTTGTACCTGCCCAGACCCTTCACTACCCCTTCAATCTGCATGCATAGGGCTGCCAACTTTTCCTTGTAGCAAAGCTGTGACATTTTTAACAGCTTTATGGTAAGAAAAAAGCAGGGGAAGTTTGCCCTCCAGGCAAAGGCAGTGAAGTTCATGAGCTGAAAGCTCAGCTTGTGTGGACGGCGTGGCTCACTGCCGTTAAAAAGTGGCTTCAGCTCCCGGGAGAAGCGATGCCTCCACAACTCATGAGGGATATCAGTTCACTCTGCCTCCCTGAAATTTTCTCTTCTGACACCCCAAAAGGGTGGAAAAACAACACTCACTTTAATGCCCAAAGCTGGCAGCATTTCTCCATGAGTTCTGGCAAGAAGGAGACTCCTTTGGCTTCCAGTTCACACTGGTGCAACCTGCAGACCACACACACACAAAGAAACCACACCCGGCAGCTTAGAAGGGATACCTGAATCCTTAACCCTGTGTATGCACAGAGTGTGGAAACAGCAGCAAAACTACGTAGCAATTTTGCAGGAGAACAAGACGTGGAGAAGACACTCCAGGTGGAATTGTGCTTCAGGAGCATGATGCTGCTTGCAAGCCAGGTACCCACACCTCCATCCACCTGGCTTTCCCGTCCAGTTGCTGCAATGTTTGGCCCCAGCAACAAAGGGTTGGTAGGCTTTGCCCCCAGGAGGTCTGGAAGGGAGCAATGGGCTCTCCGACCTACTGGGAGTTGCCCAGGAGGGCATCACAGTACGGCGAACGCTCGGCACAGCAAATTTCCTCCCGCCTCTGGTCGATGTGGGATTCTCCCCCGTCGTTCGAGGTGGAGACGGGGAAGGGCCGGGTATCATTGCAGCCATCACTCTGGGGGAACACTCACACCTCCCCAAGGCAGCCTGACGGAGAGCAGCTCTGCCCCGCTCCCGGGAAGGGAAGGCAGGGAATGGGCACCTCAGACCCTAGCAGTGCCTTGCCCGCATTCACAACGCCCAGTGGAAACGTGTGAACCCAGGCAACCCGTGCTCCGCAGGGGACAGCTGCTCCTTCCTGCATTTACCGGGGGATGGTGTGTGTGTGTGTGTGTGATATGGGTGTGGGGAGAAATCCCCATATTCCTGATGTGGCTAAGCCGTTCACACCACTTGGTGTCCCAACAGCTTCCTATGGTGGCCCAGTGGTGAATTCAGACAACCTTCTTGTTCCAGTGGGAGGTAATTGCCACAGACATCACAAGGTGGTTCCTTGCTTGTGTTGTGTGGTCTAAGCACATGGGGGACCCCCAGATCCTGGCTTACCTGCTCGGTCAAGTCCTCCAGTCTATGCCAGCAGCAACGATCGGTTTAGGACAACGTTAAGCTGGCTAAGTTATGCCAGGAGCAGGGCCTGGACCCGGGAGAGGGTACAAGTGTCTCACCTGCTGACCACAGACTCTATTTTCTCTTCCCAATCAGGGAATTCCTGTTCCACCATGAACAGACCACCATCTCTCCTTAGCAGATGCAAAAATGAAGGAAAAATAAGGAAGATTAGATTGTTTGGAGTGTCTTGCTTCTTCTAGCATTTGCTGTATTACATCATGCATTTAAACTGCCCAATACCAAATACCCTTCAGGTTGGATTTCAAATAGAGTGGCTGTGTGTCCTATTGGAGGGATAACAGTCCTCTATTTGAACACATCCTCTGTTTCAAGGACTGTCCAGCCCAAATCTGGTCAAGGGGTAAAGAACCCCGAGAAGGAAGGACTGGGTACTGGGGGTGCCCAGCCATAGCAGAGTGACCAGCAGCTCCCCAGCACTACAGTGGTGAGTGGCACTATATTTCTATTAGCTAATCTGTGCCCTCTTTTGATGATGCTTTGCCATTTTGAGTGAGGTCTGAGCCCCAGCTGTAATTGCAACAGTTAAAAGAATTAAATGCAGCAAAATATGGCAAGGATCGGGAAGGTAGGTGAGAACAAGCCAGAGCATCTGCAGACCAAGCCTCTGAGGGCACCGTGCTGTCTAGAGAGTCAAAGAAAAATCTGGGCCCCCAGCTCCGACCTCAGGAAAGGATTCCAATTTTGGAGCATCCTCCAAATACTCTCCCAGCTGATGCACTTTCTGCATCCGCTGTGGCTCTGAAGTCAGACATGCAAATGTTGCCTAGGTTCAGACCACTGCTCGTGGTTCAACGACGACCCAGCCTCAGAGTGTGGGTTATTGTATTGTCTGAACCCAGCCATCTTCTACATGACAGCCCTCCAGGCAGCAGATGAAAGGGCTGAGGTTGCATCTGGAGAGCCTCTGAAGAGCCTTGGCCACCCAGTGCCTTCCCACCGAAGCGGCACCTTTCAATCTACTCGCATTTGCAGGCGTTCGAACTGCAAGGTTGACAGGAACTGGGACGGAGCAACGGGAACTCCCTCCATTGTGCAGATTCGAACCGGCGACCTTTCGATCAACCAGCCCACCCAGCAGCACAGCGGTTTAAACCACTGCACCACCCACATCCCACACAGTGTTCTTAGAGACATCCCAAAAAAATCTTGGTGAGGAATTCAAGGTCTCTCTCCTGGATCTTCTCGCCAGCCATGTATTTAACTCTGGAGAAGTATGTCAGGAAGATATCAAACACGGAGAAGGGGATTACGTGAGGGCTGTGATGTTTCCCTGGACTCCAGCAGCCATCTTCAGAAAAGTAACGATGCTTTCGTCTTTCACCCACGGCTCTTCTATGCTGCAACGCAAAGTACGAGCATCTTGGTGAGCAGAGCTCCTTTCAGCGGGAGAGCCAAGTTCCATTCCAGGAGTGGGCAGGAGTCCATGTGAACCTGGCGGGGCCCCCAAAGGCTAAAATATCAAACGCAATGCAACCCTTTCTTCTAGTAACTAGGTCTTAGTAACAAGGAACCGACGCCAGGAAGCCATCAACCGACTGGTGCCTAGGGAAAATGGTGAGGTCACGGAGCCCTGGGGGACAATTTGGTAGCTCAGGTGGGTCAGGTTTTCTCCCCAGGCTTCTGCTTCTGGAGTGCTGTCCTAAACAGAGTTGGTGTGGGGTAGTGGCTGAGAGTGTGGGTCTGGGACTCAGATGACCTGGGTTCGAGCCCCCACTCAGCCACGGAGCTCACTGGGTGACTTTGGGCTGTCTCACAGGCCTGTTGTGGTGGGGATCAGATGGAGAGCAGGAGGAGGAGGAGGATGCAAACTGCTTTGAGTTCATTGTAAGAAAAAAGGGGGGGGTGAATAAATAAAGGACTACAAAGTAGCTCAGTTGAACTAAACCAGGTAGCAGAATTCTCACCCAGTTCTTAGCAGGCCCTCTGGTTTCCACAGAGTCCTGAACAAGTCTTCTGCATCGTTGACCATTAAGGCATTGTTAGTTGACCTAGGAACAAAGATGGTCATTTTTCCGTGGAGAGTCTTATAGACAGAGCCCAGGTAACCAGAGGAGACTTTCATGCCCACCCAGACTGAAATGCAACCTTGCCCAAGACAGCAAAAGCTCACATGAAATTGTACAGGGTGGTGCATTTCCCCAGCCCAGAGAAGAGCTGCATCAGGTGTTCTGGTTGGAAGCTGCAGTGCTTTAGCCTAGAAAAAAGGAGGGCATGCGCCACGTTAGCATCTTCTGAGCAGATCAACAGGCCACAGTGATCAGCTGGTAGCTTGTGTGCAGCACAGACAGGGCAATTGTCACTTGAGTGTGGAGTCTGTGCCGAGCGTGGGTTGTCACTGCAACATACGATTATTGTGAGGTCTGAACCCACCGCACAAGCCATGGTGATCACTCCACACTTAACCACCCAGGGAAACAACCAGTATGGACATGTGAGGAATCTGTTTGGAGACAGGACTCTTAATTTGGGGATAGGACCCATGTGGAGCACCATGGAGAGCTCCTTTAAAGATCAGACTAAAAACCAGCAGGAATACATTGCCCCATCAACACCAGACCTACCAGCTTCTACTGGTGAATTGAATCATACTTAACCAGTTACCTCAGGGTCTTTTGAGGTTTATCTTCTCCCACTAATGTCTTAAGCAGCATTTCTTCAGAGGACAAACTAGAAGACAAGGAAGACATGAAGTTTTAGAGAAACCAGAGTGGGTACCATCCTTTGGAAAGAGAGTGTGCTATGTATTCATCTGAATTCTGGAATGCAGATTCTCTGCTGGACTTAGAAACATAGAAACAGAGTGAGTCAGAAGGGGTCTCCCAGGCCATCTAGTCTGACCCCGGCTCCAGCCAGCTCCGCTCACAACACGCCCACCATATGCATGTCCAGCCTGTCTTTGAACACACTTGAGCTAAGGAATGCAAATCCCTTTCTTTTTGGTAATTTGGAGATTTAAAGTCCACCCTTCAACAAAATTAGCAGCTTAGGAAGGGGCAAAGGGTTTTTAGGGAGGCAGGGGGAACAGATATGGGACACTGCTCTTGACCTGGGAAGGAGGCGATGGGGGAAATGAGCCACTCAGGTAGAGGTTCTTTGCCATTCCTGCCATCTCATCTGAACATAACTTACAGTACACCTATGGATTTTTCTCTTAGCAGGTTTACCAGGATGCCAAACCATTTAATCCCCACTTCACATCACATCTGAACGAGGAAAGTAAGGCTACCCAGCTTGGAACAAGCCAAGGTAATAAATCATGGCTGGAAGTTGGTTTAATATTCTGGCTTGTGCCAAAGCTGTTAATCATGGATGTACTAATGTGATTATGTAGGAGCTTCCCAGTTTGTTTGTTTGTTTATCCTGCAAAGTGCAGGCATCAGAGACATGCTCATGGCCTCTTGCTCCAAGAAATGGCCATCTGAACCTCACCGCTATCTCCCTTACCTATGTTCACGCAAAACAGAAGAGATAATTACCATATGAATTATCACTGGGCCTGCCAGGAAGCTTAGTTTTATTAATCCCTACTTGGGGGAGAAACTGCTTTATTTATATTTTTTATTTATTTATTAAAACCTTTCTATGCCGCCCCATTCGCTGAAGCCTTGGGGCGGCTCACAACTTAATATAATACAAAAATAACAATATAAAACTAACAATATAAAATAAATAACAATATAAAAGATATCCATACCCAAATTTTAAAAGGACTGCCCTGAGAGAGAACGAACCAGTGCAAGGGGGAACCTCTTTCCATCTGAAGGCTGAATGCCAGTTCAGAAAACTCAGGACAGAGAGTGCCCTGTTACAGTGATGTGAGAGGCAGAAGGCAAAAGCGACAGGGACTCAAAAATCAGAAATACCCACACGGCCAGCCTATTTTAGCATTTGTTGACCCTTTTTTAAAGAACATCTGGCAATTCTTACTGCTAGGAACTGATGCTTAGATGGGAAAATGGGGAGAAAAGTTGCAAAGGGTGGGAAGTTGCAGGGGGCAATGGCCCCCCAAAACCACATGGGGGGTGAGGCAAAGCAGTGGGACCTGGGCAATTGAGCTCTGATCTAACTTCTGCCCACCCTGCTCGTCCATCCTTCTCTGCCCCGCAAAGGCAAATCGGTCGTGCATCTGACCTGCAGCTCCTTCACGGGGGGAATTTGAATTCCTGGCTTCCCTCCGCAAACTGAACATCCACGCCTCCTTCAGAGCTCTTGTTTAAGAGCACGTCTGTGCTACGTTTTTCTCCCAATCTGTGCATATTTCCGTGTACAAATTGGCTTGCAGGACAAAGAGGTGGGAGTGAAGGGGAGGAAAGATAAATTACTACAAGTAATTATACCTTACGAGAACTTCTGCTACGTTTTTGTACGTGGCAAGGGCATTAATGAGATGGAGAATTCCTTCTTGCGAGATCCTGTTCTGGCTGATTCTACACAAAAGGAGACAGCAAACGTTGCAAACTTTTGCACTGCGGTGGACAATTGTGTGTACCATTTGTGTGATTCGTTTCCTGTTCTTGCACCATCTCCTTCCTTAGGGCTCAGACGCATCACCACGAATTGTACCAGGCTGAAATTATTGTTCAGGAATCTGCTTTCAACTTCTATGTACATTACACCGTTTTTCACAAGTTATGCTTTCCCAAGTTTAAATGCCACCACATGGTTGAGAAAGCTAGCAAGGTCTGTGCTTATGTTTTTTCTTTTTACATGAAAATTCACGTGTATTTTCGCACATTTATTATCAAGTATATACATTGATTCCATGCCTTTGTGAAATGCATGCATTCTCCTTCCATTGATCAAAGTGCCTTTGCGCAGTTTCCTAAATTGTCTTTCAGTGTGTTTTCCAAATGCATTTCCCATGTTGTTTTGAGACTCCCATCACAACTATGGGAATGTACAGATATCAACCACCAGTTGCATTTGGATCCATGCTCAGCTGCAGGATAAACTGAATCAATTCTGATCAAGAACAAACGGATACCAATTCCTAATCCATCTCTGAGATTAATCAGAGGTCGTGCTCTATTTAGCAGGGACATGATCCCGGAGCGCACGGGAAAAATCACAAGCGGACAAAGCTGGCCAAGCCTGGACAAGCGATGGGGGCGCTCCAGCCTGCAGGCCAAAGGTGGCCCACCAGACCGGCTCTTGCCACCTGCGGAGCCCCTCGTGAACCCCCATCTCCCAAAACCCCGTTTTCTTCAAGATGCACTGCTCCTCCACCCTCTGCCCTACATGGCAAGGCTGTCCAGCTTACAACTGAAATGGTTTTTGAACATTATTTCATGGTTAAAGTTGGTTGCTGTTGGATGACTTGAGAACTTTGCCCATGGCTTCTGGGGAGAAGGTGGCCAAGGAAAGGCATTGTCCCCTTCCTGAAAGCACGTGCCTGCGGAGGGGGTGCAGCGCCATCACCCCAAGGGGGCTGGGGAAGTGTGGACCCCAAATCCCATAGCTGCCCCGTTGTCCTTGCACCCGAGTCTGCAGCCCACTTACTTCAGGAGGCAGGAAACCCGGGACTGGGGCAAATGTTCTAGGAGGCACTGGAGTCCTTCGTTGCCAAGACGGTTCCCCGAGAGGCTGAAAAAGAAAGAAATCCCACCGGACTGGCTGGCATCACACGCCAACACACGTCCCTGCAGTGAGCGAGAGTCCCCGGCCCAACGGCAGGAAGACAGTCCACACCCTGTGACGGATCTGGTCCCTTCCGAACGCATTCACCCGCAGCCCCCGCCGTGCCTGACATGGCGCACTCATTCAAAGGTCACAGACGCTCTAGCCCATGGGCCCCCAGACTACGGCCCACGGGCAGGATCCGGCCCACCATGCCCATCGATCTGGCCCACCTCTGAGGTTTTAGGCTCTCTCAGAGAAAACGATCTGCGTGAGCAAGTTGCCGCCACGCACGCCCCCCTACCTCACTGCACCGCGTGCCCCCCCACACCAGCCCGTGCCCACCACCAGCTCCTTTCCACTGGCCCCCGCTGAAAAAGTTTGACGACCCCTGCCCTAGTCCAAGCCACCTGGAGGGCACCCGACTAGGGAAAGCTGCAGCATCAGTTCCTCATTTGTGGACATGATGAATTTACTTCATCAATCGCCTGTTTATTATTTTGTTATTCTCATTACCATGCTTGGGGTTCTTTTCTTTAACTTAAGAAAGCCAACAACCTGCAAAGTTCTGCATTATTCACAAAAGGAAGGAAGGAAGGAAGGAAGGAAGGAAGGAAGGAAGGAAGGAAGGAAGGAAGCTGCAACAGTGCAACTTGAACAGCCACCATCCCTCCTCGAGCCCAATTTTCATTTCCGAGACAACAACGGCAACATTTCCCCACTTACTCCAGCTCGGCAAGGCGATCGCATTTCTCAAGGATGGCACAGAGATCTTGAATGGCATCCTGCCCAATGCCACAATCTATTAGCCTGTTGAACACAGAGAAGAAGAACGTTGGAAGCTGCAGGCCTTCCCCTTTTTCAAAGAAAGAAAATTGCGCGCCGGCGACGCGTCCCCTGCTTGCGCCATAGCCTCCCCCTCCCAGCCCCGCTTACCCAACAGTGTGAACACGTCCCATTTTCTTCTACCAGTCCTTTCACAGAAAAAGTGCTTCGCTTAGGGTTGGACCCCAGGGCCGAAGGGGAGAGTTCCAGCGGCTCCCATGGGCTCCAGATTACAATCCGGGAGCAGAGCGGCAAACTGGGCCGGCACCACCAAGTCTCAGTCGGCCAGACCGGAATCTGCTTGCAACTGCTTCTTTTCTTTCCTTGCACTTCATACTCAGAAGGCAGCCAGACGGTTGCAGATGCTTACCTTATTTGATTTTTTTTACCTGATGCATTACCCTTTTCTGCAGCAAAACCGTACATATTCCCAAGCAAAGGTGTAAAGCCGCAAGGCAACGAAAGCAAATGTCATCACTTGCCTGCAGTCAAGAAATTGCTATGGTTTAAGTGACTCTGGCAGAAAGAACCGGGCCTGCTCAAAATATTCTCTCTCTCTCTCTCTCTGCCAAAGGTTTTGCTTGAATCTGTTGCAAGGGAAAGCGGGAAATGACCTGCTCACGACCAACAGCTGGATCTACAATGTGTTAGTTGCGAGCAAAAGATCAAATACTTTGCAGGCATTGAATAAAGCCCAGTTGTTGGTCTCTTCTGCCCTTGCCTTGTTTAAACACACTGGCCATTTGCGGCATGTTTGCGAGAAGCAAACGGTAATGGCAGGGAAATTGTTTCGTTTCCACATACCTGCAGTATCTTGCTTGGCTCCCTTGATTTTCCACAAAATGCAAAACAGCATTTTCACTGGATCTAGAATCACACACAGAAAGACCTCCTTTTAACGCGTTGAAGTTTGGATGTGTCGGCTGGTGTGGACGATGATCACAAACCTGCTCTGTGTCTGCTTCTATCCTGTTTTCTTTTTATTGAGGGAATGGGCTCTTCCTTGGGGAGGGGATGCACAGGCTAGCCAGAGGGTTCAAAATGGGCATATCCAAACGGGCATCCCATGGAAAGCAAAGCTGACTCAGCAGGATATGACAGGACTTTCCAAAGACCTAAATGGCTGTCTTAGCAGAGAAAGGATGCAGGATTTTCTTTACCATCCAAGATGACAAGGCACCAAACAACAGGCCTCAGAGTCTCTCTACCAATGGCAAGAATGAATCGCCAGGCCCCGCGGGAAAGAGTGAGTCTCCTGGAACCCCAGCCTTTTTTTACCACCCAAGCCCCCTGCAGCTACTAACCACAGCGTGCTCCCGGGTGGTGGTCTCCACCGCCAACTGCTAGCTCTTAGAACATGCACAGAGTGTTTTATAGGTTCTGAGTCACATGGGCCCAGCAGCTGGGCAGTTGATGGTGAAACAAGGGGAAGAAGAAGCCAGAAGAAGGTGCGAGGTCTGTGAGGGGCTCCGTGCAATGGCAGTTGATTGCAGGAGATTAACATAACCATCACGGGATTATCGTGGGTCTTGGCATGCAAATGAGGGTGACTGCAATGCTGTTAACCCGGCAGCCTCACCAGCCCTTGCTGATCAGCAGAACAAGAGCCCTGGCAGCTTCTTGGGGAAGCCCTCAGGTGCCACTTCTTAAAGCAACGGCAAATGCCAAACCGTGATGTGCCTTGGAATTCTGGGGGGCTTCCTGAGAAAGGGCCACAGGCATTTTATAACACAAAGACATGTAAGCATCCCTTTTCTGCCTGGATTTCTCTGAATTTTCCCAACACAGGCTTAAGCTACCAAAAGGTTCAGTTGAACATAGGAAAAGCTTCCGATTGGTCAGAGCAGATCCAAAATGGAGCCAGCTGGCCAAGGAAGGCTCCCTGTTGTTGGACATACTGGGGCTGTCAGGGATACTCTGCTATGGATTTCTGCACGGAACAGAGAGTTAAATTAAAGGCCTTCAAATTGCATTATGACCCTGCTTTGGCTGAAGCGGGCTCAGCATCAGAGTAAATTTTCCCAAAGGCAAGGCGGCGGCGCAGGCAAACGGTCAGGCAAGACCGCTCCAGTCCAGCAGGGGACCAGGCTAATGGGTCAAAGCCCCTTCAGCAGATGAGCCAAGGGGCGTTGCAGGTGAGGCAGGAAGGAGGTTCCACGCTGAGCAGAGGCCTGGGAGTTGCAATACCAGGCACCGGAGCGAAAAGCACAGCACTGTCTTCAGCGCTGCACGGGGAGAACCTGACGGCTGATATTGCCGGAGCCCGCTAAGCCCCGCCCAGGGCCCGGCTGCAGTAGCTCTCTGGCGAGAGAAGCCGTTTCCTCCCGAAGACCCCTGATGTGACTGAGTGCTCCTTCTCGAGGGAAGCCCGCTGGCCTGCCCCCTTGAGGCAGCGACACTCCCGAGGGGCAGGCAGAGGCCCCTGGTTCCTCCCAGCCTTCCAGCACTGGCTGATCGGGATGCACTTGATTTCTGCCAGCTCTAGCCCCTTGGACAAGGAGGGGGCAAGACAATTATTTTCTAGAGAAGAATACCTGCATTTCAGAACATGCAGACTATCCAGTTAGTATTTTCATTTCCTAAGGGCAGGGATATTGAGGGAACTCCATGGAGTTTCAGTGGATACCTTAGATAATGGAGGGAGGAGGGAGGAAACACAGAAACATAGAAACTGAGCAAGTCAGAAGGGGCGTCCTGGGCCATCTAGTCTGACTCCCGGCTCCAGCCGGCTCCACTCACAACATGCCCACCACGTGCATGTCCAGCCTGTCCTTGGAATTCCCTCATGGATGGGGCCTCAACGACCTCTCGTGGAAGCCCATTCCACACCCTCGGGGTCCTGACTGTCAGGAAGTGCTTCCTGGCATCCAAATGGATCCTTGGTTCCCTGAGCTTTGCTCCGTTGGAGCGCATCCTGCTCTCCTCTGCAGGGAAAAAACGGACGGACAGATGGACAGGTTTTGCACAGCTTTGTTTGCAGATTTACCAGAATGAGTTGCTGCAGAAGCCACGAACAGAAACAGCAGGGAAGCTAAATGTCAGGAGAAACATTCTAACAGTAAGATCAAATGCCTTCAGGAGCAGAGGCTGAGCTTTCCTTTGCTCCAGGAGTTTAAGCAGGGGCTAGATGGCCATTTTTCAGGATATGGTACGCAAGATTCCTCCACTGAGCCAGAGAGCAAGTGGCCCCCATGAGCACGTTGATCTTGCTGATGGCCAGGCCTCAAAAGGAAAGGCACTGTTCTTCCACCTCTCGATAAGAGAGGAGGACGAAAAGGAAGGTGAGGTCACAGGCGGGCTCTTCACGCACCTGGCTCCACTCCGGTCTGCCCAAGCCTCACTTCTCTCGGGGCCTTCGACCTCTTACCTGACTTCTACTTCACAGATTCTCTTGCACAGGTTGAGTGAGTTGGCCAGCAAGCAAATGCTGCCCGGTGAAAATTTATTCTCACTGATGCTGCAGGAAAGAAGCAGGGATGTCAGCACGTGACTTTGAAAATCAGGCGAGCTTGGCACTGAACCAGGACTGGCAAGGCAGCCGCTGCAGCCATGAATCGATAGCAAACATGCTGGCTAAGTAACAAGGCCAGCACGGGTCTGGCACTCTGGGGATAATAGTCTTTGTGAATGTGTCAGGACACATCTGGATGCATCCCGACATAACCCGGAAGATGGCTCAGTGGCAGGTTGAGCTAAGCAGTGGCAATTTTAACTCTTGGGCTGAATTCCATTTCAAGGAAGCTCGGGGCGGGGGGGGGGGGGGGGGGGGGGGGGGGGGGGGGGATCCAGTGGTGGGAGGGGCTGAAGGCAAAAGGCAAAGGGCCAAAATACAGAAACCACCAATACATTTTAGTTCCAGGATCTTATTGCTGGTAACTTAGCAGAGGCGATTCACGTTTTTAGAATGAGAGGAAAACTGTAGAAGTCGAGAAACCACAACACACGAGCGGCACAGAGAAAGTGTTGGGGTCATCTGAAGAGTTGGATTAGGAACCATGGAAGCCAGACTGGGATTCGGGATGGCTGGATTTCGTCCCCAGGCTGGAGGTCCTCCACCCCTGCCACACAAGAAGGGTCTCCAGTTGGCGGTAAAAAACGTAGTGGCACCTGGCAAACCCTACTTCCCCCCGAAAAGCTGGAACCAGAGAGAGTGGATGAGGATGCTTCCTCTGCTGTTACAGGAGAGGTTTTTGTCCGGTGAAACGGTGAAGCAGCAGTGCGTGGACAGGCAGTTGGCCCATTTGCCCCATGCTGGTAGGTCACCAGGCTGTGGGCGGCAGTGGTCCCTTCCCTCCCAGCTGCCCCGACTCACCAAAGGCTCTTCAGGCTCTGGAGGGAGGGCAGGGAGTTCATCAGATGCGCCACAGCTTGGTCATTCAGTGAGTTCCCAGACAAGCTGCACCAGAGGCAGGGCAGAAAACGCAACACATTGAAAGAAACAGGTTTGGCCATCGGTGCCTCGGGAAGCCTGGAAGATGGCTTGACACAGCTGCCCCAGATGACTAGATCCTGCACGACGACAACCCAGGGTTGCTGTCAGTTTGCTCATTCACCCAACCGTGGCTTGTCAGGGAAAGCATGAGGCCAAGTACCATGTTCAGATGGGATGCTACACAGCCTGGGCACACAATGTCTGCGGATTCTTTAGCCACTCCTGCTGGCAGGGGGTCAAGCCAAATGAAGAAACATACCAGCTTGTTCCAGACAATCCATAGATTTTTTTAAAAAAAGCAATCCTGGGTTGTCATCACGTAATTAATCTCAGTTTGTTTTACAGCAGCATTTGACCAGTTTGCACCACCATGTATCCAAAGCCCCGGCCACATGCTTTGTGAGCCGTGCGAGTCCCTCAGGCTTTGCTGCGCTCACGGGTGCATTCGTGTTCCAAAACCGCCCCGTCTGTTTTGTGCCCCACGAATCTCCTTTCTTTCCACAAGCTTCTCGTTGATTCTGCAGGAAGGGGTTTGCGTGCATTTGCACAAATTTGGAATCGTGCAAATTCGCACCGACAAATATTCATGTATCCCCCCCAAAGTAGGCAAATGTCCAGGAAAATGCCTATTTCTCACATTTTAGCCTATGAGGGAAGTGCACATTCCTGATTAGTATTTTTTTATTTTATTTCTGCAACTAAATTTGTAAAAAATTCTGTCCACAAGCCTGTGTGTGTGAGAGAGAAAGGCAATCGACTGTGGAATCCATGGGACCTAGCAACAACATTGCATTTCTATCCTGCCTTTTTTCCTCCTGTGAGGAACCCAAACAGCTCCATTTTACCCTCACAGCAACAGCCCTGTGAGGTAGGTTGGGTTGAGAGTCTGGGACTTGCCAAAGGTCACCCAGAGAACATCATGGCTGAGCGGGGCTGTGGCCCACATCTCCTTTGAGGCCACTGTGGATTGTCCACTAAAATTCCACCAGGACCTGCAGAGGTGTCACTGCTCACCTGGCGATGTGTTGGTGAAAGGCGGCATGGTCCACCAGGCAGGTGCATGCTGGGCCAGGGTCAGGATCAAGGCCTCAGGTACTTGCAAGGAGAAACGGCCGTGGGGTCATGCTTCCGGCTCTGCTATGCCCCGAGGGCCACTGACCCTCGCTCATCCCTGACTTTGCCTTCACCTCTGATCCTACCACCTCCATCACTCCTGGTTCTGGTACTCCAGCCACAGATACCCGCCACCTACACCCCAAGACACACACAGAGAAGGAATCCTTACCTGATCTCTGCCAGGCCAGGATATCTGGTCAGCATCCCAAAGAGACGACTCGCAGCCTCCGGACTCACCAGGCAATCTCTAAGGCTGAAACACAACGCCTGTTCAACACTCCACAGTTTTAACTCAACATGAATTTCGCTTCAGTGCTACTGATGGGCGTAGATGAGAAGGAGATAAATAAGCCACAGGTAGGCCAGATGTGGCTCACCTGCCTGCCTGTCTTCAACACCTGTGCCTCAGAGTGAGGGGAGGGTGCAAAACACTCTTGCTGTGATTAGCTTGCGAAGGCCGCTCCCGACACCTGGTACCCCACCTTTCCTTCCAAGAAGATCGAGACAAGAGCCTTCTAATTTCCGTCTAGTACTAAAACTGTCCTGCAAGACTTTGCAATAGAAAGTGGAGCATCACAGACGCCATTAAGAAAAGACACTGACTACTTCCGAATCACCAGCAGTAGCAGTTCCCCTATACTCCTCTCTAGTCAGACCTCACCTGGAATCCTGTGTCCAGTTCTGGGCACCAAGATTTAAGAAAGATGCAGGCAAATTAGAAAGGACCCAGCGGAGGGCAACAGAGATGACCCAGGTTTGGAAACACTGCCCTGTGAGGAGAGGCTGAGAGAACCGAGCATGTTCAGCTTTGAGAAGGGAAGGCTGAGGGGGGACATGAAGTCCCTCTAGAAGTCCCTCAAGGGCTGCCACAAAGAGGGAGGTCAGGATCTCATCTCGCTGATGCCAGAGTGCAGGACATGGAAGAATCAAGTCAAGCTGCAACTACCCAGATTCAGGCTGGACATCAGGAAAAGCTTCCTCTCTGTCAGAGCAATACAACAGTGGGACCGGCTGCCCAGAGAGGTGGGGGACTCTCCCACACTGGAGACATTCAAAAAGAAACTGGGCAGCCCTCTGACTGGGATGGTGCATTGTGGTGTCCTGCACCAGCAGGAGGTTGGACCTGGTGGCCTTCATGGCCCCTTCCAACTTGACTACTCTATGATTCTATGAAAGAAAGAAGAGCAGCTATTAGGGAAGTGTGGCTTGATGCTAAGAAACTGGTTCCAAGCTTAGTTCCCTTCCCAGCTCCAGCAGTGAGGCAGTGCAGAAATGAAAATGACGACAATAGCATCCGTAACAACCACCCACCGTCAGCGTGGTTTCTGCTGGCTTTGGGCCTGAAGGTGGGAGCACTGCATGCTACTCAACAGGTCCACTCTCTTGATCGGCACTGAACTGTGGGGCTGATGATGTGCTGCCTATTCAACTGTGTCTCCCCCAGAGCCAGAGGTAGCCTGGCTTTCATCTTCCTGGCTTACTGCTGACCTCGTCATTTCAGCTAGGAATTCTGACTCCCCCTCTTTTCCCAGTGATTCAGGTTTGGAGGCATCAACCTCAAAATCTCATATTTTGGGAGAATGTGGCCCAGTCCCTGTAGCTTTACCATCACTGAGTGTGTTTTTGAAGCCAAACGGAGGGAGGGATCCCTTCCTGCTCTCACTCACAGGAGGCCACCGGCCAGTAGAAGTCCAAACAGCCCGGACTGATTAGCGAAATGTTCCTCTCCTTTGGAGGAAGGTTGAATTGAGCCTTTGAGTTTTAAGTGGGCTGTTGGTGGGAGGCATTTCATCTCAGCCCCAGGCAGGGCCAGACTGATTCAGGGCATTCTGAACAATTTCAGAAGCTTCTGCAACATTGTTAGGGATGTGAATCTACCCTGAGGGTGGGGGTCCATCAAATTCCCTGGGCTCATTGCCCCGGGTGCTGGTCCTGACCCCGAGTCTGCGCTCCTAGAGAGCATGTCCAGAGTTCCAGAAGCCGGCCCCACGTGCCATGCAAGCAGCGTCCCTCCTCCAGGCCACGCACAAGCACACTGCTACACACACCACACAAGAGCCTTGCTGTTATGCAGCCTTCCTTCCACACGAATTTGTGGACTTCTTCTCCACTCAGCTTGCTTCCTAGGAAGCACAAGGCAAGAGGAAGTCCGTGAATGCAAGTGGGATGGATTCCACGTTTTGTCCCCACCCTAAATATTACCATGATTCAAAATGACCAAACAGCTCCAGTTTAATCTGGAACTTGCTACAAACTCTGAATCAGAGAGTAAAAAGGGCAACCTTACCAGAAGCGGCGGCCACAGAGAGCCTGACTCGGCACCTCCCCTTGAAGCTCGGCGGCGAGGCCGTATCTTCAGAGATAAAGACAACCCACAGATTAGTCACCGTTTTTGAGGGCGCCTCACAAACCTTTCTACCCCAAGATCACAAAACTGAACGTAACCTGGTCTTCTTTCTGAAGACATTACAAAACCCCGTCTTCGTTTCTGAATTTCCAAATTTTGCTTGCTACAGCTTTCTGTCTATTTGCGCTTCCCATCTCCTCTATATTAGCAAGGCACCTTTGTTGATAAAATTGTGCAAAAATGGTACATTTGTAAGCTGCCCAGCGAAACTTCAGGTTGTGGGGCAGCATAGAAGTGGAATTAGATGAATGAAGGACAGACAGACGGACGGACGGACAGATGGAAGTTCGCTACCTATCCAGAAGACAACTGTTTCCAAGCAGACCTGGGCTGGCTCATCACCCCCGGTAGCAAGTATTTCTGCTAAGCCAAAGCTCGTTGAGGTCTGTGCAAAGAGCGAACTGCACGTGCTGAGGAGCGAGGGAAGGCTTGGGGCATAACCACTCTATACACACACATGGCAAGGGCAGGTCTTCCTCACAGTCTTCCCCAGCCTGGGGCCCTCCAGGTCTTATCAGACGATGACTCCTGTAAGTTGCAGGGAGTGGAAGAAGGCTGCTTGAAGCCCTCTTGCTTTAAGGTGCTGCCAAACGCCTGGATATTTTTGCTGCAAGAGGCTAGCACAGCTGCCCTGGGGGAAGCCGACTCCAAGGCAGGGAATACCTTTAGGACGCTGCCTTTCTCCAGGCAGCTTGTGCCCCTTGCCTCATCCAGGGACGCCTCCTTCCTATCACCTGCACCCCATCCTTTGCAGTATTGATGCTGGGATGCAGCCCAGATGGCCTTGCAAGCAAAGCGGAGAAGATGCATTGACAAGAATGACTCTTACCGGATTCTTTCCCCAAAGGTTATGTGAACTTTCTGGGCTCCTCCCAAACTGGAATGAGAAAGAGGATGTGAGCAGAGGCAGCAGTTCCGGTATTATCTGAATTCTTTTAAATTTAATTCACTAGAAACAATAAGGAGAAAAAGCAGATATAGGAGAGGAAGGTGCCAAGTGGCAATCCAATATAGCACATGACACGAACATCATTTGCTATATTTTATGACACCTCCTCCTTCATGGATCACTGCCTCGTCGTGGCGAAGGGGCTTGCGTAGCTCAATGAAGCTCTGAGCTCTGCCGTGCAGGGCCACCCAAGACGGACAGGCCATAGCAGAGAGCCCACTGACAAAACGTGATCCCCTGGAGAAGGAAATGGCAGCCCACTCCAGCATCTTTGCCATGAAAACCCCATGGACAGTACCAAAAGGCAAAAAAGATAAGATGCCGGAAGAGGAGCCCCTCAGGTCGGAAGGTGTCCAATATGCTACTGGGGAAGAGCGGAGGGCTAGTACTAGTAGCGCCAGACAGAACGAAGCGACTGGGTCAAAGCCGAAAGGACACTCAGTTGCAGATGTATCTGGTGGTGAAAGGAGAGTCCAGTGCTGCAAAGATCTATACTCCATAGGAACCTGGAATGTAAGATCCATGACTCAAGGCAAGCTGGATGTGGTCAAACAAGAGATGACAAGACTGAACATCGACATCTTAGGAATCAGTGAACTAAAATGGACAGGAATGGGTGAATTCAATTCAGATGACCATCAGGTATACTACTGCGGGCAAGAATCCCTCAGAAGAAATGGAGTAGCCATAATAGTCAATAAAAGAGTAGGAAAAGCAGTACTGGGATACAATCTCCAAAATGACAGAATGATCTCAGTTCGAATCCAAGGAAAACCATTCAACATCACAATAGTCCAAGTCTATGCCCCAACCACTGGTGCTGAAGAGGCTGAAGTTGACCAATTCTATGAAGGCCTACAACACCTTCTAGAATTAACTCCAAAATATGATGTCCTTATAATCATGGGGGTTTGGAATGCTAAAGTAGGAAGCCAAAAGATAACTGGAATAACGGGCAAGTTTGGCCTTGGAGTACAAAATGAAGCAGGGCACAGGCTGATAGAAATTGTCAAGAGAATATGATGGTCATAGCAAACACTCTTTGCCAACAGCCCAAAAGACGACTCTACACATGGACATCACCAGACGGTCAACACAGAAATCAGTTTGACTATGTGCTCTGCAGCCAGAGATGGGGAAGCTCCATACAGTCAGTAAAAACTAGACCAGGAGCTGACTGTGGCTCAGATCATGAGCTTCTCGTTGCAAAATTTAGGCTTAAGTTGAAGAAAGTAGGGAAAAGCACTAGGCCACTCAGGTATGACCGAAATCATATCCCTGATGAATATACAGTAGAGGTGACAAATAGATTTAAGGAATTAGATCTGATAGACAGAGTGCCTAAAGAACTATGGACAGAGGTTCGCAACATTGTACAAGAGGTGGCAACTAAAACCATCGCAAAGAAAAAGAAATGCAAGAAAGCAAAATGGCTGTTTGAGGAAGTTTTACAAATAGCTGAGGAAAGAAGGGAAGCAAAAGACAAGGGAGAAAGAGAAAGATACACCCAATTGAATGCAGAATTCCAGAGAATAGCTAGAAGAAATAAGAAAGCCTTCTTAAATGAACAGTGCAAAGAAATGGAAAAAAAACAATAGAACAGGGAGAACCAGAGATCTCTTCAAGAAAATTGGAGATATGAAGGGAACATTTCATGCAAAGATGGGTATGATAAAGGACCAAAATGGCAGGGACCTAACAGAGGCAGGAGAGATTAAGAAGAGATGGCAAGATTACACAGAGGAACTATACAAGACAGAGCTTAATGTCCCTGATAACCACGATGGGGTGGTCACTGACTTCGAACCAGACATCCTGGAATGTGAAGTCAAATGGGCCTTAGGAAGTCTGAGCAACAACAAAGCTAGTGGAGGTGACAGTATTCCAGCTGAGCTATTCAAAATCCTAAAAGACGATGCAGTACAAGTGCTACACTCAATATGCCAGCAAATTTGGAAAACTCAACAGTGGCCACAGGACTGGAAAAGGTCAGTTTACTTTCCGATCCCAAAGAAGGGCAATGCCAAAGAATGTCCAAACTACCGCACCATTGCACTCATTTCACATGGCTAGCAAAGTTATGCTCAAAATCCTACAAGCTAGGTTCCAGCAGTATGTGCACCGAGAACTACCAGAAGTACAGGCAGGATTTCGAAGAGGGAGAGGAACTAGAGATCAAATTGCCAACATACGCTGGATCATGGAGAAAGCTAGGGAGTTCCAGAAATACATCTACTTCTGCTTCATTGACTACGCTAAAGCCTTTGATTGTGTGGATCACAACAAATTGTGGCAAGTTCTTAAAGAGATGGGAGTACCAACCCATCTTATTTGTCTCTTGAGAAACCTATATGCAGGTCAAGAAGCAACACTGAGAACTGGACACAGAACCACTGATTGCTTCGAAATTGAGAAAGGAGTTTGGCAAGGCTGTATACTGTCGCCCTGCCTATTTAACTTATATGCAGAGCACATCATGAGAAAGGCGGGCCTAGATGAATCACCAGTTGGAATTAAGATTGCTGGGAGAAATATCAACAACCTCAGATATGTAGATGATACCACTCTCATGGCAGAAAGTGAAGAGGAACTAAAGAGCCTCTTGATGCGGGTGAAGGAGGAGAGTGCAAAAGTTGGCTTGAAACTCAACATTAAGAAAACTAAGATCATGGCATCCGGTCCTCTCACTTCCTGGCAAATAGATGGGGAAGAAATGGAGGTAGTGACAGATTTTATTTTCCTGGGCTCCCAGATCACCGCAGACGGGGACTGCAGCCAAGAAATTGAAAGACACTTGCTCCTGGGGAGGAAAGCTATGGCAAATCTAGACAGCATACTAAAAAGCAGAGGCATCACCCTGCCGACAAAAGTGCGTATAGTCAAGGCTATGGTTTTCCCAGTTGCAATGTATGGCTGTGAAAGCTGGACCATAAGGAAGGCTGAGCGCTGAAGAACTGAGGCCTTTGAATTGTGGTGCTGGAGGAGACTCCTGCGAGTCCCTTGGACTGCAAGGCGATCGAACTGGTCAGTCCTAGTGGAGATCAACCCTGACTGCTCTTTAGAAGGCCAGGGACTGAAGATGAAGCTCAAATACTTTGGCCACCTAATGAGAAGGAAGGACTCCCTGGAGAAGAGCCTAATGCTGGGAACAATAGATGGCAAAAGGAGAAGGGGACGGCAGAGAATGAGGTGGCTGGATGGGGTCACTGGGGTGGTGGGTGTGAGCTTAGGTGGACTCCGGGGGATGGTGGAGGACAGGAAGGCCTGGAGGAATGTTGTCCATGGGGTCATGATGGGTCGGACACTACTTCGCGACTAACAACAACAACAACATGACACCTCATTCATAAAAAAGCAAAAAACTCACTGGCTATAATCCCAACAAAGCAATCCAGTTTTCAGTCCTACAAAATTTATCCAATATATTGGTTTAAGTTGTTGCTCTATTGCTCTTTTGTCTTAATTACTAACATTTATAAAAATATATTTTCTTTAGCAATTAATTAAATTGCTCATAATACGCTTTCCACCTTAAATTCTTTGCCGACCCTTCCGTTAACGTAGCTCGTTAGCATCACCATTGTTGCATAGTCAGCTCACTTGCCTTTCCCCTCCTGGACAGTCTTCAGCTTTCCACTTTGAAGCAATTATCGTTCTGGCTGCTCTTACCATGTGTTCAAATATGCTGGTATCCTTGTAGGCCGGCCGCCCTGCACGCCTTCCTGTAGGCTGCATGCACCAGCACAATGCAGCTGATTTAGGAGCATACCTGAATTGCACGGATTCTGCGTGCTCCAAGGCAAAGAAGAACTGCACCAGGGCAAGGACACCGTCCAAGGTGATGCGGTTTCCATCTAGCCTTGAAGGAGAGAAGCAGCAAAGCCTTATTTCTCACTAGCGTCATTTGTGGCTCCACAAAAACAAAACTTTGTGCTTGGTGGCTGCCTTGGAGTTGTTTAGAGAGCCAGGTGTTCTCTGTTACAGCTGGCCCTTGAAGAAGAGGTGGGGCACAGACGTCTTCCCTAAGGCAAGTTGTACTGGACTGCTATTTAAATCGATTTCTGAACTTGCATCTAGCCAGATAAATGGCCACGTACCAGTTGCATGCACACCGATATCCTCTTGTCTTTGTGCAATTCTCTCTCTCTCTCTCTCTCTCTCTCACACACACACACACACACACAGAGCTATTCGAGAGTTTTTCCAGCTGTTCCAGATGTGAATACAGCCAAATGAAAAACCACCAGCTTTTCTTATGGTCTTGTTCCTTTCTTTTCCCATTTACACTGGTGTCACAATTCCGCAGAGGGAACTGGGAAATGACAGAAAGCCAGTCTGAACTGGCTTAAGGAAACACATTCCCAGCTGCTTGCTTGGCAGGATTGGGCTCGGGGACTGACAAAGAGGCCCAGTCATGTTAAAAACTGACATGGGAAAAAATTCTGCTGTGCTCTGCCATGAAAATCCTGCATTTGCTCCGAGAAGTCTCGTATTCACTGAGGCCGTCAATCCATGGCTGCCTGAATTCCTGATAAATACTAACTTCTAGGAGAGATGCAGATGTTATTCAATTCTGTGCTTTGTGGATCGCCAGGCATCTTTTGTGCAGTCCTCGAGATATTTCAGGAACCCCCCCCCCTTTTTACCAGAATTTTGCTCTATTTGTGCTAATTTGCATTAAGAGCCAACAAGCACTCGTTGCGAATCTGCATGAGTTAATGTGCAAATTCTTCCACCTCCAATGGAAAAAAATGGAATGCACATACCCTGGGTATAGCTGATCCCTGTGGAACTGACAGGCTGGAGGGACCAAAATACGTTGGAATTTGTTGCATTTTTCTCCAACAACTGAATGATTGCACACCCAAAGAACCTCTCCTTCAAACCAGTTGTCAAGAGGAAGGGTTACAAGCCCAGATGCCTCCCGTACACCCTCCTTTTCTGCCTGGAAGAAATTGCAATGCCAGCACCATCCAAAGTCATGCCATTCAGAAGGAAGCCAGTGGCATCACCACCCATGAGCATCACTGCCTGAAAATGTCATTAAATAGCCAGAGAAGCAAGACAGCCATCACTTACGTCAGAGATCGCAACTCTCCAAGAAAGGGGAGGAGTCCTGCCACCATCAAAGCCTCCACATCACTCAGATTATTATTTGACAAGCTACGCATGAAGTAAAAATGGGAAGAAATTATTTTTTGAAACACAGGCACGCACTGTGTAGCTGCACTTCATTTTACAGCTCCTTTTCTTGAACAAATTAAGTGATGCTGCCTCTTCTTATTCCTTGCAGAGCACATAGTGGAAGATTTTATTTTATTGTTTTATTATTTGATTTCTATCCTGCCCTATTAGCCGCATGGCTCCCTGGGTGGGTTAAAACAACAGATGCCAAGAGACACTGATGAACGTCAACAGGGGAATTATCAAGGTATGTCCAAAAACTGGGGAGTGACGTCCAAATGTTCAGACGTGACTGAACGTATCTGGGACTATTTGCTTTTACAAATGAATATTCATGTGCATCAAAAGCTTGGGCATTTGGTGTAGTTTGATACCCAGCTCTACCTCTCATTCTCAACCGATCCAGGTGAGGCAGTGACTGTACTGAACCGGTGCCTGGCCGAGGTAATGGGCTGGATGAAGGCCAATAAACTGAAGCTCAATCCAGACAAGACGGAGGTCCTGTTGGTTGGTGGATCGGGCTTCGGGGAAGGGGACTGTGATCTTGTCCTGAATGGGGTTGCACTCCCTCTTAAGGACAAGGTCCGCAGCTTGGGAGTGCTCCTCGATCCAGAGCTTTCACTGGAAGCTCGGGTGACAGCGGTGGCGAGGAGCGCTTTCTTTCAGCTTTGGCTGATTCACCAGCTGCGTCCCTACCTGGAGAACGACGGCCTGGCAACCATGACTCACGCATTGGTAACTTCCCGACCAGACTTCTGTAATCTGCTCTGCGTGGGGCTGCCCTTGAAGATGGTCTGGATACTTCAATTGGTGCAACACAGAGCAGCCAGGTTGCTGACGGGGACTGGGCATTATTCTCACGTAACCCCAGTCCTCTACCAGCTTCACTGGCTCCCCATCGAAGTCCGGGCTCAATTCAAGGTGCTGGTTATCACCTATAAAGCCCTTATTGGCTTGGGTCCTGGTTACCTAAAGGAGCGCTTACGTCCATACGTGTCCTCCCGCCCCTTGAGATCGGCAGCAGAGGCCCTCCTCCAGGAGCCCTTCGTGAAGGACATTAGGTGGGTGAGTACCCAGAGGAGGGCCTTCTCTGTGGTGGCGCCCAACTTATGGAACGCGCTCCCCAGAGAGGTCTGCCTGGCGCCGTTGTTATTTGCTTTTCAGCACCAGGCCAAGACCTTTTTATTTAAACATCATTTTAATTGTTGATTTTATTTATTGATTTTAACAACTTTGGCCAGGATGTCTCCGACTGTATTTTATTGTATTAATGACATTTATTTATTTGTAAGCTGCCCCAAGGCTTAGGCGAATGGGGCAGCATATAAGTCTGCTAAATAAATAAATAATAAATAAATGTGGAACGTCAAGAAAAACTGCCACGACAAAACTTACTCCAACTCAGTTATTCCACCGCAGCCTCTCAGGGCAAAGCACAAGCTCTTCAGAAGCTCACCATGAAAATGATTATCTGCAAGGCTAGAAAAGAAGGCAGATCACACCTGTGCTTGCAATATACCCGCTCAATATTTCCCAGGAGTTCCTTTTCCCAGTGCCAGGGAGAAAGAACGGAGAAAGGTAGTAGGGCCCTGATTGTCTGATTTCGGTGAATTCGCTGGATTTTGGCACAAAGGTGGCCACCCCGTATCTCACATCCAGCTTCTGAAATCAAATGCTCTTTCTCCTGACTATGCATCCTTCTGACAAATAAGGAGGGACTTTAAAAGAAAAGCATTGCTTTTCATGAATAAGGAGGGACTTAGTGTCTTTTAATGAGGCACACAGGGAGGGGCTTTAGAAAGTATGTAAACGAGCACATGCAAATTTGCACTCTTTTATCCAATGGGGATGTGGGATGGGTCCCTTAGCTACCTGTGGCCCTGTCCCTGGTCGTGAATAGGCAGCACCCCTTGGGAGTCCGCATGGTGGGCCAGAGAGGAGGCCTCCAGGACCTTCTGCCAATGCCCCGCTGATGCACAACGCTTGGCCTTGTGCCCAGTTTAGATGTGATGCACCGCTTCTCTCAAGCGCCTCTAGGAGGAATCACCCCTCCGCCCACGTCAACGTACCATATTGTCCTTGAAGCGGCCGCCACTTGGTTTCTGTCTCTCTTCAAGTGATCCTCACGAGCAGAGTCCCTCCTGAAGCAAGGACAAATGCCAAGGTATCACACGGGGGCAGGAGAGACCATTCTGGCCCTTGCTGAGGCCTCCGGGTGGCTCACAGCGGAGAAGCATGAGCGTGGAAGAGGGATCGACACATCCCCAAGGTGCCCCTACGAGCTAACGAGGTTGCGATCTCTCTGAAGGCCATACGTGAGTGGGCCTGGAGAACCCTCCCCAGCAGGGGTCTTCAGATGTGTTGGACTGCAGCTCCCACGAGGGATCGCCAAGCCTTACCAGCTTGGGAACGCAAAGCAAGGGGAGCTTCTCCCAGCCTCAATCTACTCAAACCGGATGACCGGCACCTGGGTGATGCCAACAGTGAGGGGGGCTTGGAGGGCAGCGACAGGGTCTTCTCAGCGGTGGCCTCCAAACATGGAATGTTTTCATTTCCCTCCTCTTATCGCCATTGCAACAACTTGCTCCCTTGACAGGCAGTGGCCTTCACTGCTCCTTCTTCTCGCCACCGCTGTGGACAGGATGCGAACAAGGGGCAGGTGAGCCAGCAGGTTGGAACAGTGAAGAGAAAGAGGAACCTTCTCAGAGGAGCCCTACTAGGGTGCAGCCTTTGGCGGTGGCTCAGTAACGCTTGCCGATGCCCCGAAACGGCCATACCTGGGATGAGGAGCATCGAAGACATCCCCGCCAACAAGCGTCAAGGTTGCAGTTTGATGATGAACACTAAAGAAAGGCAGAGGGGAGAGAGAGAGATGATTATGGTCCATGTTGGCTTGATTGCAACATTGATCAAAAACTCTCAGGACTGCATGTCCAAAGAGAAGCTGGAGAGCAGCAGGTGAAGGAAGAGGTGTGTTGGGCAGCCTGGTGGGACGGCCAGGTGTAGTGGGCAGCTGTATTTCTTGCCTGTGGACCACTTTCCCATGTGTCCATCTGAGTTTATGAGTTTCATTTGAAGATCATTTTGTGTTGAAATTACATGTTGCAATTAATTAATCTACAATACGTCTACGGTGCGCTACCTTTCCTTCATTCCCTTTGGGCGGGGGCGGGGGGTGTGTGTGTGCTGTATATTTTGGACAGCAAGGTACAAAACCAGAATGTGTGGTCTTGTGTTTTAGGTGGTCCCAGAGGATCAAGCTTGTATTTGCAAGATTAGGTGGGATGACACGAGATCCCAAGGAACTGGTTTAATGTGGAAAGCCTTACACAGCTTGGGAAAGCAACACAAGAAGGAGAGGTTCTCCCAGCCAGCCACAATCTACCCAGCCCCTACAACCAACATCCGGGTGGTGCCTCGGGGAGCTCGGAGGGCAGCACCGGTGGGCAGGGTCTTCTCGGTGGTGGCCTCCAAATACGAAATGCTCCCCTCCTCATTATTATTGCAACAACCGCACCCTCATCCTTTCGCACCGGATTAAGCCAGCCCTCTGCACCAGGGCATCTAAAGACACGCAAGTGCTCTCTAAGGATTTAATGGGGTAGTCGCATCTGGTATTTTTTTTAAACAGGCCTGTTTTATATTAAGTACCATTTACCTAAGAAATGTTGTATCATAGGCATTTTAATATTTCTACGGTAGCATGGTCCTATTTAGGAAATGCTGCAGGCTGTGTGCAAAATCGGACTCAAGCAAATATTCAAGGCAGAGAGTGTACAATCAGAGAATATTCAGCGAGCGCAGGGCTTCTGTGGGGGTGCTCAGTACCCCCGCCCTGAAACTGCAAACAACAACGTCTGCAGCATGACAAGTGGAGCTAAGGAGTCGAAGGAAAGCTGCGGAGGAGGTGAAGTGATGGGAGGATGTGTTGTTGTGTAGATTAAGGATTTCTCTTGTATTACATTTTTATGGAGTGTCGACTGACAGGAAGATGGATAGATTTTAGGGGTCTGATTGTATAGGTGGATTTGTATCAAATTCCCTTGGCCACTTTGTCTATTTCAGCTTGCTTTGTTTATTATAGTTGTTTTGCTTTCAAAAAAAAAATTAAAAATAACAACAACATTAAATATTTGAAGGCAATCAGGGTCCTCTGAGCATTTGGGACTTCTATCGCTGTGCTTTAGCACCAAGATCTTAAGTAGCTTGCAGGTGAAATATTATTTATTTATTTGGGATATTTCAAACCCATCCAATTACCATGCATCTCTGGACAGCTTACAAACAAGTCAGTATTTTTGACCAGCATGGGCTGTTGTCAGACCGTTTCTCTGTCTAAATATGTACAAGATTGCATACTAAACTATTTATTCATTTACTTCATTTTACTTCTGTGCCTCCCTCTAACCCAAGGATTCTCTAGGTGGCTTATAGCTCCTGAAACAGCATATAAAATACAATTGATAAAATAGATAAAAATGATAAAATTAACTAAAATAAATCCACATGGTAAAAGAAATAATACAGACCTATAAACAGCCTTAGACAAATGCAACCAATAAATTAAAACAATCAAGAGTTAAATAAAACCAACAACAGAAGGCAAATAAATTAACCAAAAAGCTTGTTGGAACAGAAAAATTTTTACCTGGCGCCCAAAGAAAAGAAAGTCGGCACCAGCCGTCCCAGGGAAGCTAATCCCAAACTCTGGGCACCACAGCAAAGAATTACAAAATTCCCCATGCCTCACTGAGGGGATAGCTCTATTTGTGTAACTTCTTAATCATCCATTGAGCAAGTGGCAACTGCCAGCAGCTCAAGTTTCCAGAAAATGTTTGGCAGGGCTAGAAGGAGGGTCCTCATAAGCACCCCATCCCCCAAAGAAAAGTGTGGCCAGCAAGACACAAGCACAACTTCCCAGCTGACCCCCAGGGGTACCTGGCTTCAAGCTTCGCTATACTGGGGCAAGTGCGCATTGAATCCAGGAAACAGAAGATGCTCTCCACGGACAGCTGGTTGTTGTTCAAACTGCAGAGAACCAAATCAGACCGAAATAAGTTACCCTCAGAACAGCACTCCAACCATCAATAACACATAAATGATCATCTGACAGGGTAAAGGCTACAGACCAAGCCCTGGGGACAAAAATGCACATAAATAGAGATGCATGAGAATTTATTTTTGCTTGCAAAACATGCTGAAGGAGAAAGAGAGAAATTGCAATCTGTCAGGCACGCTTACATGTTCCTCTCATTACCTATTTCCAGTCCTATTTGCTTAAATTTCCGCAGTAGACTGATGGAGACCTAATTCAGTTTATTCAATTTTAATTTAAACAAACATTTATATCCCATCCTTTCCAATGAACAGCTCAGGACAGCTTACAATGATTTAAAATATTACAATTTATGGAGGAAATTTGCACGAAGACTGGGATATTTATGCAGTTCACCCACTTGCTACTCCAGCAGGTCCAAGCTTCCTGTTCGCATGGAGTTAGCAATAATTGCAAACAGGGACCCGGCACAAGAGGACTGGCAAGATGACACTGGAGAATCCCGGTGACCTGAAATGTTGCTCCTTTACCTATCCTCTCCCACATTTCTGATGCAAAGAACGTTGGGCTGCAGAGCTTTCTGGAGGCGGCGGAAGAAACCCCTCTCCGCTCAAAGCCTTCCAGACCTCCTTCCACGTGAAGTGCGCAATACTGTGTTAGATGAACCAAATATTCTGATTCAGCATGAGACAGAGTTATATGTAAATGACCTGGACAGCTTCACTGGTGGGTGACAGAGACATGAAATTATTATTTTTATTATTATTATGACCCAGCTGTGGCCTAACCCAGGAGATCTGCTTTGCATGGAGAAAGTTGCAGGTTGTATTTTTTCGCATTTGCTGTTAGATGAATTAGGTGTCAGAAGATGGGAAATACCATTTGCTCTGGTCTGTCAGCACAGAAAATATTAGGCTGGTGGAAACAGCTTGCCCTGAGGAGGTGGGAGAAGAAATGGATTCAGCTTGAGCTCAGAAGAATAAGAGCTGTGGAAGAGAAGAAAGAAAAGAGGACAGCCCAAGGGAGAATAGATCCTAGTATGATTGGGTTTGGGGGAGACATTTCTCCATCAGCCTGAATCAAACATTTCTCCCACCCATTCCTGCTCCTCGTTGCTTGCATGTTTTAGATGTAAGCAAGAGCTAATCCATTGATTACTATTTGTTTTACATTTATATGCCTCCTTTTCTCCTCTTGGAAGGCACCCAAAGCAGTTTATACAATCCTACTGCTGCTCACAATGACCCCACAAGGTAGGTGAGAACCAGACATGTCTGGTTCAGTGAGGGACTCCATTGAACAGGTGGAGTTTGAGGGAGGCAGATCCACCCAGTCCAGCGTCAATGTCCGACATTCCTGCCATGTGGTCCACAAGCAACAGCAACCAACCTGAGGGTGGAGCTAACTCCTTTTGAGCAGGAAACGGGAAAAGCTATAGATTTTGGAGCCAACTTCTTAGCATTAAGCCTCTTTTCCCTCTTAGCTAACTTCTATTAGTTAAGCATTCTAACTTCACCAGTGTCTTTGCTTAATGACATCTGCATCCTCTTTATACCCCAAAGCCATCAGTTTAATATGAAGCGGACTGCAGATGGAAACTTCTTAATCTGTTGGAAGAGGCAGGGCTGGAGGGTGGATTTCCAATGCCCGGTGAGCTTCATGGCCAAGTGGGGTCTAGAATCTGGAGCCTAGAATGCTCTAACCACTATGCCACACCAGTAGAGTGATGCTGTACTATATTGGGACCACCAGACAAAAGGTCCAGTTTTTTAATTTATTTGTTTATTTATATCTTGCCCATCTTCCTTTCAAGAAACTCAAGGTAGCTTAGATCATTCTCCTCCTCCTCTCAATCTTTATCCTCAACAACCCTGTAAGGAAGGTTGAGCTGAGGGTCTGTGACGGGTCCAGGCTCACCCAGTGAGCTCCCTGGCTGAGTGGGGGCCGGAACCAGAACCTCCTGAATCCCGGTCCGGCATGTCTAGCCACAACAATACATTCTCAGCTATATCGAAATAGGAATGGATGCAACTATCCATCCCAGTTTCTCATTTCTCCAATATTAAATTAAATTCATCCCAAACCCACATTTTTATTTAATTATTTAAAATATTTTACCCTGTCCTACACCGAAATCGTCCCATGATGGCTTACAATAAGAACAATAAACAACACATAATAACAAACAAAAATGCTACTGTAAATATTCTCTCCCTCTCCCTCTCTTTCTCTCTGAGTTTTCATGAAAATGTATACATGTTTCCTCAAATGACAGCATTTTTATACACAATTTTGCCTAAAGGTTTGTACACATTTTGGCAAGCCATTTTCCTAATAAAATATTAGGAACATCCTAACAAAATGCTATTGCCACAAACGCTTTTCTTTTTAGCTTCTCTATACCACTAATTGGGACTGCAGGTGGTGCAGTGGTTTAAACCGCTGTGCTGCTGGGTGGGCTGGTTGATCGAAAGGTCACCGGTTCGAATCTGCACAACGGAGTGAGTTCCCGTTGCTCCGTCCCAGCTCCTGCCAACCTTGCAGTTCGAAAGCATGCAAATGCGAGTAGATAAAAAGGTGCCACTTCGGGGGGCAGGTAACACCAAAGTGCACGGAACGCTGCTTAGTCATGCGGCCACATGACCACGGAGACTGTGTGCAGACAAACGCTGGCTCCCTCGGCCAGGAAACGGAGATGAGCACCGCTCCCGAGAGTCAGGCGCGACTGGACTTCACGTCAAGGGGAAACCTTTACCTTTTTACCTTTATACCACTAATAGCTGAGACTCTCTAGGCCATTTGCAACAAATGCCTTTTCGTAAGTGCTTTTCTCCAATATAAGCATTTTTAAAGTTGGTGATCTGCATAGCGGAAGCCATTACATGCTTCAAAAGTTATGTTTTTGTGTATTGATCCAAAAGTGAAACGTAGGTAAGTTTGCATTCAAATGTAAAATGAATTAATTTCTCCCCCATTCCAACATGCAAAACAGCTTCATGGGGCAAACAGCCAAAGAACCACCTTTTCCTTCTTCTACAGCACTGACTGCTATAAGGAAAGAGAAATCCCCAAAGAAATTGCCCCAATCTGCAAATTCAGAAAAGTGAGGCATTGAGCAAGTTTAAGAAGGCAAACAGGTTGTACAAATGGGCAATCTGCAGAATTCATTGACTGGAGATTAAGACTTATTGGTGCAAAATCTCAGATGGGGATGTAGCCTTGATAGAAAACGAACAAGGAAGGAAATACGTACATCAAAGGCCCAGAAATGCGCATTTGGGGGACCATCTTCATTAGTTCCTTGCATCCTTCATCACCAATGCGGTTATCTGACAAACTGACACAAGCATTTCGAGATTAGTAATGCAGTTCCTCCAAAAGCCCCATTCTGATATCAGGCTACTGCTGAGAAAGGGGGTACTCACTCGATTTCGGAAAAGTGGGGACTTCTCAGGAGAATATCAGCCATCTTCTCTGTCTGTTGGAAGTCTAATCTGCAGTCCTGCAATCTGTATAAATGAGAAGTACAGCGGTAACTCAGCTCACAAACGCTTCAGTTCATGACCAAATCGGGTCGTGAACAAAAATTTAAGAAAAAGTGTTACTCAGGTCACAAACTCCACATCAGGTGATGATCGCGATCGTGCCCGTTCTCCCCCCACAAGCGCGCCCGCGATTGTGCCCATGATCACTCCTGTCTCCCCCGCAGCACGCCTGCGCTTGCACCCATCTCCCCCCCCAGCGCACCCACGATTGCGCCCGTCTTTGGCTGCGATTGTGGTCGCGCTCACGCAGGCAACACGGGCCCGGTCGCAGTCGTGCTGCGGGGGCGGGGAGATGGCCGCAATCTTTGTCGCTCTTTGTCACTTGGCTTCACATTTTTCTGATTAAAAAAAAATATTAACAGAACAGATTCTCCTTATTTACATTGAACCTTATTGGGAAATTTGACTTGGTTTATGACCAATTTGGGTCACAACCAGAGTCCCGAACGGATTAAGTTTGTGCGCCAAGGTGCCACTGTATGGGCATGTGCTTGTGGGAATGCATACAAAGGCACATGGCAAGAAGCAGGCAGCAAACACTGGTATTTTTGAATGTTCTGCCTGATTTATCATCAGCTTGACTTTTATCTCCATGGACGCACAAAGCAGCTTTCACAAGGAAAGACCAAAATAAATCAGATAATTTTTTGCTGCCAGAATGGAGGAGCTGCAGTCTAACTACATATGGAAGGTTTTGAAGTCATATTAATGCCAACATGGGATGGAAAACTGGATCTCAGATGCTTGATGTGGCTGGAACCAGAGGTAGCCCACCCTCAAGGAATTCTGCACCAAGTAACACAGAAACAGAGCGAGTCAGAAGGGCCATCTAGTCTGACCCCCGGCTCCAGCCGGCTCCACTCACGACATGCCCACCATGTGCATATCCAACCTATCTTTGAACACCCTCATCAGTTTAATATATACTTTCGAAAAAGACCTATAGACTGTGTTGATCCTTTCTAGCTGAAACAGAGTAATCAGAAAGCTTTACTCATCTGCAGTGAAAGAAATGCAGCTCCATGCACAATCGAGGATCCAGGAGAAAGGTGAGAAAAGGACAGCCAAAGTGCTACCTAGCTCAGAAATCTGCGTGCTCATATGCAGACATGGCAGGGACTGGAAGAGTATCGCCACAGGGATGTGAGGACCCCAAACTCCAGCCAGCTCTCAAGCCATTTCAGCTAACTTTCATCCTTTGCATGGGTGGAGCAAAAGGGGGCCTTGTATGTCTGGCACAAATTTCTGCAGGATAACTTTATATTAGCATGAGTTACCCCTTCTAGTAGTTTGGGTATATTATAACTTTTGGTCCATTTATTATCACATTATAACTTCTGGTATATTTCCAAATGCAGGAGGGGTTTTTGTTTCTTTGTTTTATTTTAAGCCTGCAGCTAAATCAACCTAGAGGTACAGTAGTAAAATACAGTAAAAATGGAAAGAAAATTCTAACTTTTGAAATTTTGGGGAAATTAAAAGCTTTTCACCTGGTGCTAGAAGGAACAAAGAGTGAGGCCTTTCCCATACTGACCACCCTCCTGACTTCCTTTGGACGGGGGTCTCTGAGAAGGACCTCTGCTGATGATTTCAGGGTTCAGGGAGGCACATAGAGAAATTCTTAATATATATATATAGTGTGTGTGTGTGTGTGTGTGTGAGTGTATGTTAGTATGTATAAAGATTAATATATATTTACCGTAATACTAAAGTTCTGGCACTGGGAACAAATTCCTCTTCTTTACTCCCCACATCTTCTAACCTGAAATCCAAAGAGTATTTTTTCTAATTTTTAATACACCAGAACAGAACCGAACCGAACACGCACATGGCTGGAATAGACAGACTCACTGAAATCAGTTAGTTGTAGACCAACTGAGCAGCGAGATGGCTGCAAGCAGTGGTGCGTTTTGCTATTATGGTCACTGTAGTTACTAGTTTAACAATATTTGTGAATTGTTCCCATTAAAGACATTTGTAAGTGATGCACAAAAGAAACGATCACACAGAGGGAAGGCTTGTCTTCGTGAGAAGGTATGACTAAATACAGATTCAATTCACGGGGTAAAAGATGGCTGAATGTGATTCTGGCAGTCGCGAGGCATTCCCACGCCCAAAAGAAAGGCCACCTTTGAGGGGGGGGGGTTTCAAGCACCTTCTCTTTGCCCTCCAGCTGGACGCCCCACATGGCCAAATCCCTGTCACCTTTCACCAGGTCTCCAAATGTTCCGCTCAGGGCATCCTGCAAATGTTGCATCCTGGAAATATTCCCTAAATTTAATTATGATGCCTGATGGGGACTTAATGGGGAGTAATCCGAGGGCAATTTCTCACCTTGGATCTTTTTCGGAGCGACTGGTGAAATAGACGGTTAACGTGTTCCTCCTGCAAACGAACGAAGAAAGAAAGAAGCAAAGACTATTCATGGCAGGCTCCCCACACAGAACAGCTCAAACTCATCCTGTTTCTGCTGAAACTGGCCCTAACCACACCTGCCGTTTCTCAGGCCAGAAAGAGGAATGTGCCGTCAGCATCGAAAAAAGCCGAGCCGAGCCAAGCTTTTTAACAGGGAAAGAGAGGATGAGGCAACTGCTCCGTTGCGACTCCAGCCAGCCAGTACCTTATATGAAGCTTAGTGACATCTGGACAAACGGCAGCCGCTCTGGTGAAAGCAAGGATGACCCGCGGGGAAATCTCATTGTAGCTCAAACTGTTTGGAATACAGATTCATCATCCTCATCATCATCATCCTCATCATCCTTTTATATCCTACCTTTTTCCCTCTTACAAGGTGCCCAAAGCAACAATCCTGCTCCAGTCCGTTTTACCCAAACAACAACCCTGTGAGGTAGGTTAGGCTGAGAGGAAATGGCTGGCCCAAAGACGCCCACGGAGCTCCACAGCCAAGTGGGGGTGAGAACCTGGATCTCCACCCTCCCCAGTCCATCACTCCAATACCCATGCAGCAGCAGCTCAGCGCTGACCCAACATCCCACAGCAAGGCCGTTTTAGGGAAGGACGCACACGTGTCGCCATCTCTGCCCTGCCCTCAACACACACGCGCCCCAAACTTCACACACTGAGATCCAGGTGGCTCTGCAGCGCTCTCACCCTTCGTTTCCCTCCTGCGGATCAGATGTGCATTAGGCGCATGTGGGATGGGAGGGTCCAGTCTGGAGCCAGCCATCTGTCCGGTGCTGCCCAGAAACCTGGCAGGCAGGAAGGACACCCCTGAGCCCCTCCAACCCCTCACCTGGCCGCGTGCAGAGGTGGAAGCCCTCCTCCAGCTGCATTTCTGGAGTGCTGTCTGGAGTGGCTGTGAGAAGGCGTGTGTGCGGAGTTCCACTCGGGACCCCCATCCCTGAGGCCGGACCTCTCTCTCTGGCCCTGGGGAGCGCTTGTCCCCTCTATCCAACCCCACTGCATTGTGTTCTAAGACTGTGAACTGAGAATTACTTTTGCCAGGTCAGGAGAACGATTCCTCGCTTTGCTGAAATGGCGCTTGCCCCCCGAAAAATGTACGGACCTAACGGAGAGCTGAGGAGGGTCTTTTAGGGCAAGCGCATGATGGACAGCGGGTCTACCCATGGCAACTGGTCCATGACAGCCGATATGCTGCCTCCTGGATCAGAGCCCAACCCGAGGGGGCACAAGCGGGGGAGGTGGTCACTGCCCTCACGCCCCCACAGCGATCTGGCCGGCCACTGCAGGAACCCTGCAGGCATCCCATAGGGACCAATGGGCTGGTCAAGTCTTCTGACTGATCCGATGCATCACTGCTTATGCTCCTGGGTTTATAGCTGAGGCACGAGCATGTTCTCCATTTCCCCATGTTCCTGATTGCTACCAATTCACCTAACCCCACAGCCGTGAAGGGAACGCATGTGGAAATTGACTCGTCCAGATCACAAGGCCAGGACATGTCGGTGCTGGAAGGAACGTCTCCCTCATCTTCTCCCAAAAAGAATCTGCCACTATTGGCACATGCAAATGCGCCGTTGCAATCCAGACATTTTGGTGGCCAGTTTCTTCTCGCTCAGGTGGCCGTTCAGGTCCCACTAATGTACCCGCTGTGACCCATTAACAACCAGACGGGAGGGCCACGTGCCCACAAAGTGCCACGGACGGTGTGAAGCTGCCCCTGCGTATCTGCGGGTGCCCTTTTCTCAACCAGGTCTGGCCAGCCACCTGCTGTTCTGCTCTTCACACCAGTCATTCTTGCTAGTACTTCTTCGGGAGGCGGGGGGGGGGCAGCTTTACTTACTCTATTTTCTTTAGCTTTTTTACAGTGGAAAATATTTCAGTAATCTTGATCATTTCTTGCTCCTTCAGTTTATTGTCCTGCAAGCTAAAAGGAGGCCGTGTTGATGAGTGCTCACCTAATTAAGAAATGAGCTTATTGCACCCACAGCAGGGCTGCCCTCCTCCCTGATGGAAAAGAGAAAGTTCACCTGATGTCTTCCAGCTGATGGCAGCTTGGGAGAGCTCGGACCAGCTCTTCGAGCCCCAGAACTGAGATGTTTCCACCCACTAAGCTGCAAAACAGAAATGACAGTGCTATAAACAGGAACAGTCCAGTTCATGTTGGAACCCAAAAGCAGCAACCAGACTGGAAAAACATTTAAGAAGTAACCACTTAGCACTCACACATTTCAGCATGTTTAGGTATGCGATAGTAGAGACATCACCCTGCTGACAAAAGTTCGCATAGTCAAGGCTCTGGTTTTCCCAGTTGCAATGTAAATAGATGGGAAGAAATGGAGGTAGTGACAGATTTTATTTTCCTGGGCTTCAAGATCACCGCAGATGGGGACTGCAGCCAAGAAATTAAAAGACACTTGCTCCTGGGGAGGAAAGCTATGGCAAATCTAGATAGCATGCTAAAAAGCAGAGACATCACCCTGCCAACAAAAGTGCATATAGTCAAGGCTATGGTTTTCCCAGTTGCAATGTATGGCTGTGAAAGCTGGACCATAAGGAAGGCTGAGCACCAAAGGATTGAGGCCTTTGGATTGTGGTGCTGGAGGAGACTCCTGCGAGTCCCTTGGACCGCAAGGCGATCAAACTGGTCAGTCCTAGAGGAGATCAACCCTGACTGCTCTTTAGAAGGCCAGATAGTGAAGAAGAAACTCCAATACTTTGGCCACCTACTGAGAAGGAAGGACTCCCTGGAGAAGAGCCTAATGCTGGGAACAATAGATGGCAAAAGAAGGAGGGGACGGCAGAGAATGAGGTGGCTGGATGGAGTCACTGAAGCAGTTGGTGTGAGCTTGAGTGGACTCGGGGCTGGTGGAGGACAGGAAGGCCTGGAGGAATGTTGTCCATGGGGTCGCAATGGGTCGAACACGACTTCGCAACTAGAAAGCAAGCATAGTTGATTACAAAGGGCTAATCTGGAGACTGGCTTGCGGTGCAATCCTATGCCGGGGTGGGGGCATAGGATTATTTGGAGCCCCCTCCAAGGTGGGATGTCAAAGCCTGAGCTCCCACCCTGTCCCCACCAGCCCCCAGAGCTGGCTTGGAATGAGCCAGGCTGGCGGCCTTGTGAAGGCTGCAGAGAACAGGAGAAGGTGCATGCTGGGGTGTGGGAGGGGAGAGGCTGAGGCTGATGGTTTATGCCCTTCCCAAAGGGCACTCTAGTCTCCTTCCCCCTCCTTCGCTGCACTTCATCAGGGCGGGCAAAGGCCGATGTCCAGGCGGGAGCCAGGCAGAAGCGCCCAGCAAAGAGAGGAACTGCCACTGGCTCCCCGTCAGCCTGCGGTGATGATCCAGCCTGGAGCACACGGGCTTTGCTTTCTCTCCCGCCAGCTGAACAGCCTCCAAGAGCCTCAAGGTCACCTAATCCAGAGAGGGAAGAAATGCTATTCCCTTGGGACTGTTTTGCCTCCATTTTAATTACTTGGAATATTGTTCTGAAGAAGCTGCACGGGAGACAAGCAGTGCTTGCAATAACATCAGCACCACTCTGTGTCTGCCCTTACTTGGAACTGCACAACCGCACGGCCCAGTCACGGTCTCTTTCGCATAGTTGAATGCACAGGCAACAATCGGTCTCTCACAAACTCGGATGGTTGCAGAAATCTTGCATTTTTGCCATGTTGATCTTTTCCTGCTTTTTAATGCATCCTTTGTCATGGAGTTTCTACCATTCCACAAACTCTCCCCAACATCCCCCTCCCCCAATACTAAGATAGCCAGATAACATCAGAATAGCTCATGCAATGCAGGGAAAATGCTTACTGAAATGTTGCCAGGGACTTGATCTTTGGTAAGCTTGGAGAAAGGGCTGCAACAAACTCATTTCCATACTTTCTGCTCCTAAAGCTGAGGATAAAGGAAATTTAAAACATACACACAGGTGCATGATGGGGGTTGCACAGCAAATCAGCCATCCCTCTATGCTAACTGCCCTAAGAACTTCCGCACAAGAATTTCCCTCTAATACTGTGTTGGATCCAGATCTCTTCATTCTCACGGTAGATCCATGGAAGGAAAGACTTACTTGATTCGCATTGATTTCAGTGGGTCCAGTTCTAAGCACGACAAAGTTTACATTCAACCCACACAGTTGGAAGGGACCCTCGAAAGCAATCTACTCCGAACCCCTGCCACTGTAGGAAATCCACCCCTACATTCTCCCAGATTATGGGCCATTTAAACTCTGCTTTAAACTTGCTAATGGGGGAGAGCCCACCAGCTTCTGACTTAGTTTGCTTCCTTGTCAAATAGCTTGTACCACCAGGGAATTATGCCCCTCCGCCCCCACTTTCTAAGCAGGACCAGAGGTTTCTAATGGAAGTCTTTATTATGGTAAAGCTGGTCAGCTAGGCTGGCTTTACGATACAAAAGAAGAGAATTGCAGAAATCAGTAACAGAACAAGGCAGTGAAGTCAGAATACTGGCTGTTAGGGAATGCAGTTTAAAGATAAGTGGACTTGAAACGGATACCTCTCCTGCCTCCCAGCCAAAAGATGCTGGCTCTGCCTTCAAGGTAGCCCATGCAGCTTGTGGGCAAATCAGTAGGAATCTCTGGCGCTACCCAGTTGGTCTGTCCATTTGACGTGACGCCACGTGATCAAATCCATCGTGTTAAGCCTGGCCCCATCCAGCCTGGCCCGTTCAATCGTTTCCCACATGTTCTCCTCTAAGTTCGCCCCACCACTGCCAACAGATATTCCTGATGAGGATCTCTCTTTCCCAGCTGACAAAAGCAACTCGGAAATGGCTCTGGAGGTGAATGCTGGCAGAGGCTAACTCTTCCCCCGCACACTCCTGCCCTCGGCCCAATGATCTTGACCGGGATTGCTAGGGGCAGAAAGGCCTCATCCGCCAAAGGCTAATCTAGCCCCCCATTGCAAAAAGCTTGCCTACTCTTGAAGTCCACGTCCTCATGCAAACATTCACGGGTGCAACCAAGAGCAGAAATGCACACAAAACCGTGGACGGCTTTTTCTGTGTTGCCTTCCACCCTCAAATTTGCAAGCTGATGCAGAAATAGGGGAGAACGAAGTTGGTGCTTTGGCACGGGACCAAACACGCCTTTCCATTCCTATTCTGGAGACGTTCCCATTTGCCTACAACCTTCTGAACCTGCAGTGTCCAAGCAGCAGGTCAACCCTTTGATTCTTACGTCGTTCCTAGTCCAAGTATCTATTGATAGCCACACCTATGGATAATCCGATGCAAGTTTCCTACCTTAAGCTCTTGATATTTTCGCAGCTGCCCAGGACTTCCAAATAGTCAAGCTCCATGGGGCATCCGGCAAAATGCAAGGACACCAAATCTGGGTTGCTGTTGATGACGAAAGCCAAGGTCATCATGTCCAGCGGCATCAGCCGGAAGTTTCTAAAGTGATACTTGAAATTTAACTGCTTCGCAACATGCTGGGCTACGTCAAGGCTTTGCGTCTCGTACACACAATGGCAGAGCTCAGCAATTTTCGGCCCTGTTAACTGTGCCCTTGCCAGCCTCTTCAGCATCTGCACAAACAGCGCTTGCCGTGCCTGTATCCAGGCCTCGCCCTGTCGGGCTAGGGCGCTGAGGAACCGCAGGCAGCCCTGGGATGCGAGGCCGGACAGGAAGATGTGGCAGTTCTCTGTGAACGGCGTCTTGGCTCCCTTCTTTAAAGTCCACTTGGACCTCAGGAAGAACCTCTGCTTCAGGGAGCGGTTGTCGACTGTCGGGCTTGTCAACAGGAAAAGCGCTGCGAAAAACTCCTGCAGACTGAAGTGGGCGAAGGTATAACCAGTTCGGGCCTGGCCGTTGCTTGTTTTTACCTCGAAGGCCAGCAAGAGCCCGTTCCGGCAAGCAAAGTCCTTCACGTGCCCTGGGACCTCAGCAGCATAAAACAGCATCTTTTTCTCCTCCAGGCCTTTGAAGCCCAGCTCGCAGAGGCCAGCAAGCGTCGCGTGGTGCTGGCTCACATCCACCTCTCCAGAAGCACCCAAGCCCTGATGTTTGCATAGGAAGGTGTGAAGCATTTTGAGGTAAAACTGAGTAACCGTTTGAGGGAGCTGGACACTTCCTGCATTTTGGAGAAGCAGATATTCCAGGCAAATGCAGATGATGTTGCACAAGGCAGGGACGTGGCACATGCTCAGGAGTCTGGCATTGCTTGTCAGGCACGCGAGGGCCTGCTCTTTCTGTGAATGCTGGTGGAAAAAGTTGCTAGCGTATTCCTTGACCTTCTCACGGTCAAACCCCCAGATTTCCGCTTGAAGGGTGTCAGGTTTGAAGAAAGCTTCAGGGAGTATCTTTGGCCGAGTTGTGACCAACACAGTACAGCCAGGCAAGACTTTTCCTTGGCAAAGTCCGGCAAAAAGTTCAGAAATGGAGGCAGGTTCAGGAAGATCGGGGATTGGTGCTCGACCCAAAGTTGGGTGCTGAATGTTTTCTACGAACTCATCCAGCCCATCAAATATTAGCAGCATGTTCTGGGCATTCTCTAGAAGGTGCTCAAATACTGCATCTGGGTGATTATCTGGCTGGAGGAAGAAGTCGAACAAGAGTTCGCAGAGCGTAAGCTTCCTCTTGATCAGGTTGAGCTGTCTGAACTCAAAGAAGAATACGAACTGGAACTGGGGCAGAACCCCTTCAGCCCACTCTTGGCAAATTTTGTGCACGAGTCTAGTTTTCCCCATTCCAGGTTTTCCCAGCAAGAAAATAAGCCTGGTGGTACCCGTGTGGACGCTTTCAAAGAGATCGGACGATCTCATGGTCGTGCTGCCATGCTCCTCTGGATCGTGAAGAGCCCTTGGGTCCTCCTTGGCTTTGTCCATCTTTCCCTTTATCTTGAAAGCTTTGCTCTGATAGATCACAAGGTTGACAAAGGCTTGGCTGAAAGCTGATGGTCCGCCTCTAACTTCCGCTGCATCTACAAGCCTGTCCACTCCAAATCTCTGACGCACGGAGGCGATGACAAGTTGCCGGTACCTTTCAGCCGAATCTGCGAGAAACAACGGCGGGAGAGAAGGGACTAAGCCGTGTGCCCATCCCTGGTCCCAGGGGGCTCTGGCTAATGCACGTGTGTGAACCGCGTTCATACTGGAGTCCCTGCTCTCCACTTTAGAAACAGTTTATCCACTGGAATGTTTGCCTTGAGTTCAACAGCTCCCTTTCCCCTTCCTTGTTCTTGCTCCGTAAGTCACTCACTCGTCCGAGCACCAGCCACTCCAGGGAACATGGCTGGCTAAGGTGCCACAGATCCATCTGGGGTGTCCCCTCCAGTCCCCAACTCTGTGAAATAGGGTGCCACGGTTTCTACCACCCCGTAGGGTTGCTGGCCGGGGAAACAGGATTACATATCTACCTACACTAGGCACTTAAAGCCACATTAAATGCATTTTGCTGTAACGCCTCCTCCCATTGAATTATGGGAGCTGTAGTTTTGCCAGCTTTTTCTTTTTTTAAACAGGGGTCACATCTTTACCTGAGCTGAAGCTGAAATCCAGCAATATTCCTACCCTCCAGGCTCATTCTTAGAAGAGCTAAACTACAAAGCAAAAGCTTCTGGCACCTCCTGAACCCCAAAGCAAACAGCTGCGGCCAGACTGCCTGATGCACCGCAGCGAACTCGCATTTCTAGGCTTGCAGAATTCAATCACGACAAATAAAGCGCTACATGCCAAATCGCTGCTGTTTTGATTGCTTGCAGTTGATGTTCGTGGAAGAGTTGCTCCATGGACGGCGTCTTTCGAGCCCTGGAGGGTGGGAAAAGACAATATGGAGACACATCAGGGGAACAGTCTAGAAAGCAGTTCAGATTGATCACTCCTACAGCAAAACACACAATTTCATCAGTTTGGCTGAATTCGTTTTTCTTTTGTATGTAGTATTTTCAAGTGAAAGGGGAAAAGAACTACCATTTCTCGGTATTTATTTATTTGATTTATTAGAACTCTAAAAAAGCTATTTGAAGGAGCATTTGCTAAAGCATTAATGGATTAGAATCAGAAATATCTGAGTTACATAGAGGAACGAGACAGGAAGACCCCTTGTCTCCCTTAATATTTGCAATCGTCATCAAACCATTAGCTCCAAGCATAAAGATTAAGGATAATATTATAGGTATAATAATTAGGAATAAACAGCATAAAATCAACCTTTATGCAGATGATATGCTTTTGCTTTTGAAGGACCCATCAAAAAGCATAGAACTGTTAAAACAATTATTAGAAATGTAAAATTGCCATATAGGATTAAAATTAATTACCAAAATCTAACTTATGCATAAATATCCCTATATCAGAGCAAAGAGAGAGTAAAGCAATGTCTAGTTCAGACTTGTGCTATTCTAGTTTTAGATATTTTGGAATTTGGCTAAGAAAAAGTATAAATCAACTGACATATAGAAATTATAAATATATGTATAATGAAATAAGAGCTAAAATTAAGCAATGGGATAAATTAAAATTATCATTATTAGGGAGAATTGTGGTGGTTAAAGTTCATATTCTGCCAAAATTTTGTTTTTGTTAAAAAAAAAACCTACCATTGCAACCAGAAATGAATACGTTAAAACTGTGGCCAAACAAAGGGAAAATTTATCTCAGGAAACTGGAAAAAATTAAGATGTATAAATAGTGTGAAAAATACAGCTGCCATGGAAGGAGGATTGGCAATACCACATTTAATAAAATATTATGAAGGCTTCCAAATGTCTCAAATAGTAATGCTAAAACAAATCAACAAGACTCCTGATTGGATTCAAATGGAAGAAGAGCATAAGATTCATTCTTATTTCTATATACTTAAATTGTTGAAGAATAAAGAACAAATTCAAAACCCTTTTATTAAGGAAACTATATGAATATAGCATAAATATATGAAAACCCTAGTGCCACCTATATCTCCATTATGTCCTTTTTTGGAGCATCCTAAATTTAAATCTCAGGAAAAATATACACAATTAATAAGGTTGGAAAGAAATAGGTATCTACAGAATTAGAGATTTATTTGTACATGGGAAACCAATTTCAATTAGGCAATTAGAAGAAAGGACTAGTCAAATAAAAAGTAATTGATTACAACGGATTCAAATAAAAGATTTTGCAAATAAGCTATATGTAACTTTGGGACCTATTAGAACATTGACAGTAATAGAAAATTATTGTACAGGAGACACTAATAATTAAAAACAGGATTTTATCTTTATGTTGTATACAAGTATTGTAAAAGATGAGTATACCAGTTATATAGGAACAAAAACAATATGGGAAATGAATTTAAATATTAAAATCCAGAAAAAGTGTGGGCAGGAATATGGAACACTCAGTTATACAACTCATAAGGAGATGGTATTGAAGACAGTTCATAGATGGCATTTATTCCCTACAAAACCTCATAAAATAAATGTGGAAATATCAGATATGTGTTGGTGAAATTGTTGGGTAAAATGGTTGCTTGAACACATGTGGATATCCTGCCCAAAAGTGGAATTATTCTGGAAGAGGTAATTAAATGGTTAGAAAGGTTAACATGTCAAAAAAATAATTTGTAATGAAACTCTCCTATTATTCTCCCTCTGAGAAATGAGAATTTAAAACATAAGGAGCTGGAGAAGATCCTCATGGGAGTAGCAAGATAGAAATTGTGCGTAATTAGAAAGCTGTAAAGGGGCTCTCCCTTCAAAGATATTTAGGAAGGATATGAGAAATGGCACTAATGGAGAAATTGACTACATGGGCTAGAATCCTGAGAGGTGAAATAAAAATAGATAATTTCATTAAGATTTGGCACCCCTTACTGACCTTGAATATGGAATCAAATATTGAGATAAATATGCTAGGAAACCCACTAGTATATTGAGCTGCTGTTTGTTAAGTTTGTCTGTGTGTGTGTGTGTGTGTGTGTGTGTATTAACATTGTGGGTATTGGTTTGTGGAATAGATTTGGAATGCATATGTAAATACAGCTATTGTTATATAGAAGATATACATGCTGTAAGATGATTATATGCTTTTTTTTTACTGGCAAGGATTGTCAAAAAATAAAAAAGGGAAATATAAAAATGCTTCATAAATAAAGTCCAATTTTCCACCAGTCTGTCTGCTATTATGCCCTGTTTTAGTTTTGGATGCTCCTTTTTCACATTGGATTAATCCTGTTCGTAACATTGTCCACAACAACCTGGATGATAAAATAGGAGTTTTTTTTATAGAAATATAGAAACAGAGCGAGTCAGAAGGGTCCTCCCGAGCCATCTAGTCTGACCCCTGGCTCCAGCCGGCTCCGCTCACAACATGCCCACCACGTGCCTGTCCAGCCTCTCCTTGAACACCCGCACTGATGGGGCCTCAGCCACCTCCCGTGGAAGCCCATTCCACACCCTCGGGGTCCTAACTGTCAGGAAGTGCTTCCTGGCATCTAAATGGAACCTTGGCTCCCTGAGACTGAGGGAACTGGGCCTTTTCAGCCTGGAGGAGACTCAGAGGGGATCTGTTGGCAACATACAGGTATGTGAGGGGGTGTCAGAGGAGGTGGGGAGAGACCTGTTCTCCCCTGCAGAGGAAGGCAGGACGAGCTCCAACGGAGCAAAGCTCAGGGAACCCAGGTTCCATTTGGATGCCAGGAAGCACTTCCTGACAGTCAGGACCCCGAGGGTGTGGAATGGGCTCCCACGGGAGGTGGTTGAGGCCCCATCGGGGAGGGTGTTCAAGGATAGGCTGGACATGCACGTGGTGGGCATGTCGTGAGTGGAGCCGGCTGGAGCCGGGGGTCAGACTAGATGGCCCGGGAGACCCCTTCTGACTCGCTCTGTTTCTGTGCTCCGCCATTGAGCGATGGCTCAACACATCTGGTAGCAAAATGCAAAACTGCCTCATACTAAGCCCATCGTCCCCTCTAGGCCAGCACCCAGACTAGCACTGGCTGTGCAGGATTTCAAACGGGAATCTTGCCGAGCCTGTCTAATCACAGTCTCAGCAGGATCGCTGCGCAGTGCCCGCGGTGCCCGCAGCATCCAAAAGGGCACCGCTGAGAGTGAAGGGGGGCATCTTGGCAGGCAGCTATTGAAGGGGGGGAAATCCCGAAGGGGCAAGACGACAGAATAGCCCAGAACACTTCACAGGGGACTGGGAACCCCCAGGATTCACTGAATGGCGAGTATCGCTAGAGGCGAAGGGATGGCCGAAAAGCAGGGGAATGGCATCGCCCAAGGAACGGCATGGCTGGCTGATACAAGCCCATTTTCTTGCAGGTTCCATCGTTACCACAGCAAAAATAACGTGGCTTCATTTCGCAGTATTAGCTCATCTTTCTGCGGTTGCCATTGCTTCCTCTGCTTTAAGGGTGACTGGAGAGATATTCTGAAGGTTGACCAGCATTTCCTCATCTGCTGGGGTCTGTGCCAGAATTGCTCCAGGAGTAGGAAATGTTGCAAGTGGAGCGCTGATCTTGCAGCCATCTCCCCTGTGGGCAGCAGAGAGATGCAACATCTCTTGCCTCGAGCTGGCATCTCCCTGAAGCCTGCCATCAAAGGCCTCGGGGAAAGAAAATTAGGGATATGAACCCCAAGCATGTCACTGGACCCTTGTTTGTGTTGTGTTAGTGTTGTATTTTTAATTGTTGTAATGGGTTTTATTGTGGTTTTTATATTGCAGTTTTTATCCTGTGATTGTGAGCCACCCAGAGGTGCTGTGAAAGTGTGGGCAGCATACGAATGTAAGGGAGGGAGGGAGGGACAGAGAGAAAGACACAGGGACACACAGACAGGGGAGGAGAGGAGAGGAGAGGAGAGGCCTTCTGGTTCTTTGCAGGTCCCTTGACGGGAGGGTGGGTCATCCACGGGGCTGCCCTTTCCCCCTCTGGACACGCACAGCCTCCTTTTCTGCCCCTGCTCCGCTTTTCCATGTGTTCCTGGATTGCCTGGGTGCTCTCGTTATCGCACAGGGCCAGCTCTCCAGGGTGCCTTGGACACACCTGGCCATTTTGAAGCCGTCCTCGAAAGGAACCCAGCAGCTTCAGCTAGTGCAGCATGGGCACACAGCATGGGCATCCCTGCGGGACAGGGATGGCCACGGGCATAAGGAACCCCTAGGCATCCGTGGCACCAGCTGCTTTCTGCCCCCCATTCCAGGGGCCCCACCTGCCCTGGCCCCCACATCAGGCAGCTCGGACGCCTCCTTTGCTAGGCCAGCCCCCACCCGCTTCAGATCCACGATGGCAGGAAGGGACCCCTTATCGCTGCTGCCCTGAGGCTGTGGGCAAGTCCCGCCCCGCTCGGCGACCAGGCCTGACCCGTCCCCACATGTCCCCCGCGTGATTGGAGCTTGTGAATCAGGTGAAATCATCACCGGCATCTTTTAGGTTTTGCTCTAACCCCCCCTCCCCATTTTTCCCAGTTACAGAATCAAGTCTGACATTACAAGGCTACAGTTTGCTCTGTAGCTTTAAGTTAAGTGAATAGCACTAAAGTTCACTCAAGCATATGACATGGTCGTTTTCTGACCTTAAACTGCTGTTCTGTTAATTCTGCAAGAAGTGCTAATGTGTAAAAAAAAAAAAAAAAAGACAACCCGCCTTAATTGGTGTTCTAAAGTGGAGAAAGATGAGAGGAAGCATTTTTTTCAAGCGTGCTCCTTGACTAATTTATCCTTCTATATCACATCATATTTCTATTGTATTATCTTGTCCAGTCGGCAAATACCCTTGGAGTAGTTCATAATTTTTACAAAACCAACAATAATAAACTAGCAGCCCAGGAATGCTGCAACGGAAGTACCATGAAAGGTTGTCCATCCAAACCCACAAGTACTCCCCGCAGAGAAGGATCTTACTTGCAGAGGGAGTCCGGAGCTGAGTTGCAGCTTCTCCAAAATCTTCTTGCCCTGGAATTACAAATCAGCACATCAGGCATCGCAAAGTGTTGCTTTAATGCAGCCGTGGCGGTTTGAAAACTGTTGGGAAGCGATGGTGAAGCACAGTTTCCCTGCAATCCATTTTCTAGATCAAAATGCCTCCCAGAGCCCCTCTGTTCTCTGCTAGGGGTGAAATCAACAGATCCAGTATTTTTTCATCCTACTTAGTTTAGCAGTGTGCACTGGATTTAGTGGAAACTGAAATGAATAATCCCCATTTACCTTTTAAAGACAATAAATAAGAATTCAAGGGAATGGGTTTTTCATTCATCCCCCTCCCTTCATTTCTTTTGGGAAGACTGGAAACTTCCAGAGTGTAGGACACAGAATAATCAACTCAAGTTGCGACAACCCAGATTCACGCTGGACATCAGGAAAAGTTTCCTCACTGTCACAGCAATACGGCAGTGGGACCGGCTGCCTGGAGGCCCTGGAGACATTCAGAAAGGAACTGGACAGCCAGCTGAGTGGGATGGTGTGACTTGGGGTTCTTGGTGTGAGCAGAAGGTTGGACTCGATGGCCTTCCGGGCCCCTTCCAACTCTCCTATTCTAGGATTCTATGACCCTTTTGCATTGTTTAGATGGAGGACAAGGAAGTGAGAGGCAAGCAAAAGGTTAGCCGGGCATCGCAGTTATATCAGTGAAAACACGAGAGAAAGTAAAAGGAATGCTAGCAAACAGAAAACAAAACAAAAACGCAATTCAAATGAATTGAAAAATGCAATTCAAATGAAAATGCAAGTCAAATGGCTAAAAATCAAATCAGTGCAGAAAATGAAAGCAATCCAAGGTTAGACAACAAAAATGAAATTATTGTTGCTGCTTGTCCCTAGTCTAATGCAGACTTTGATCTAAAATGATTTAGAACTAACGGCATCAAAGGGGGCTCTTTTAGTGTTCACCATCACACATACACACGCACATGAACACATACAAGGAATGGATTTTTGAGGGAGGGAAGAGGCTGGATGGGAAGGATTAACCCTTCCCTACCTGTGCACAGTGGTTGCAAACCGGATCAGGATATCCCAGGCTCCCTTTGAGGTCAAAATGTTGAGGATCAGCAAAATACACGTTTCATAAAATTGAATAGTAGAGTTGGAAGGGGCCAGAAGGGGCTGTTGCAGGACACCACATGACACCCTCCCACTCCGGTGGCTGCCCAGTTTCTTTCGGGATGTCCCCAGTGTGGGAGAGCCCCCCACTTCCCCAGAAAACAGGCTCCATCGTCGTACTGCTCTGACAGTGAGGAAATTCTTCCTGGTGTTCAGCCTAAACATGGTTACTTTTAACTTAAGTCCATTATTCTGTGTCCAGCACTCTGGAATGAACAAGAAGAGATCCTGTCCTTCCCCTTTGTGGCAGCCTTTCACGTACTTGTAGAGGGCTACTATATTCCCCTCAGCCTTGGGGCTGAGCATGCCCAGTTCTCTCAATCTTTCCTCATAGAGCTTTTCCTCCAGTCCCTGAATTATCCTCCTTGCCCTCCTCTGGACCCTTTCCAGCCCATCTGCATCTTTCATAAAACTGTGATGCTCAGAACTAGACACAGTACTTCAGATGAGGCCCAACCAGTGCCGAGTAAAGGGGAACTAGGACTTCATGTGTTTGGAAGGGATGCTTCAGGCGGCAGCATTCTCCATGTTGGAGCTGCATCACACTGTTGGCTCACGTTGAGCTTGCCTGGTGCAGTGCAGAATCCTCCGCTGCCGTGTTCTTACCGTCTCCTGACACACTCATGAACACTATTTCCAGCTCCAGGGGCAGGTTGCACTCCATGCAGACACTTTCGATGAACACTTTGAAGAGGGGGCCGTCAGCATCCGCTGCCCTCAGGAACAGGTCCAGGACCCGCGAGACCTTCTCCTTGTGGTCTGCCACATCTGAATCCCAGTCCACGTCTGCCTCTGGAAGGAGCTGCTCAGCTTTCCTGCGCACCCATTCGGGATGGTGACTGAGGAAGTCCACCAGCTGCGGCCACGCATTTCTGATGTCTCTCTGGCGGTTTTCATCACACATCTGAAATGGAATCTGGAAGGAAAAGCGGGCAAAATTCAACGTCTGCAAACTCAGGCTTGATCAAATATTTGTCCTTTTGCTCGACCTCAGCTTTCCCCAAACTAATGCTGTTCAGATGTTAGAGACTATAACTCCCAGTGTGCTTGGCCACTGGTTATGCTGGTTAGGGTAATGGGAGCTAAGCTCCAAAACACCAGGCTGGGAAGACCAAAGGCAAATGCGAATTCCTAAGAAGGTGCCGTGCCAAGTTCCCCAAGTGAACAGCTTGGGATGGATGTCATTCCCAACTCCGAAAGGCCAGTCTGCACACAGCTGCTTTTAAGCCATCGTTGCAATTAGCAATCACCTGCTGTTGGCGGACAGCAGACATTAAGAAAACCATAAATTAGGGATAAAGGTGAAGGTTTCCCCTTGATGTTACGTCCATTCATGCCTGACTCTCGGGGGCGGTGCTCATCTCCGTTTCCTGGCCAAGGGAGCCAGTGCTTGTCCGCAGACAGTCTCCGTGGTCATGCGGCCGCATGGCTGAACACCGAAGTGCACGGAATTAGGGATACGGAAGAAAATTGTGCTGTTTCCATTTGAGTGCAAATACCCAAACTGAAACAAAGATACACTTTAACCCTTGCACTTTAAACCACTTTAAATGTTTGGAGTTTTGCATGAGATTCTCCAATCAAAAAATGCATCAAAATATATGCATTTCACAAAAAAAAGATCTATTTGTGAAAATCAAGCTTACAAATGCATTCTATTAGGAAAATGCTTGCCAAAAAAGGTGCCTCTGAAGAAAGGAGCACAAAGTGTGTGCGCATTCCCTTACCAGCCTTTTCCATCCAAGTTCAGGAGAAATTCTCAGAATTTCAAAATCACCATTGGAAAATGAGAAAATAAGAGGACCAAGCTCTGGCAGAACAATGGCCTGACTTGGCATCGCCATTTTGGTTTAGGCAGTTTAAAAATACATCCAGTGAATTAACAGCTGCTGCACTTGAAAACAGCTTGTCATTGTGAGCAGAAGACATGCGGCTCTGGAACAGAAGGTTCTAACTTGTGTGCATCTTTTTTCTACCTGAAAGTGCCTCTTTCTCTGAATGAATAATCTTCCTTCCTTCCTTCCCAACTGGCAGTATACTGTGAATTTTATTTATTTTATATATTTATTAAAACATTTTTATGCCGCCTCATTCGCCGAAGCCTCGGGGCGGCTCACAATAATTATAATATAAATTAAAAATATAAATATTAAATTAAAATACCACAATACAGAATAAAATAAGCCGCCCTGGCCAGATAAAACCAATAATGTTAACAGTTAAAATGCTGCTTGAATAAAAAGGTTGCTTCACTGAGTGCCTTGTAGCACATGAATATTTGGGTGCTCTTCCTACAGGACGGGGGGAGGCTGGGCGTGAGCTTTCTGGGCAACCTTTCCCCGTTAGATCACATCACGTGAGGCCTGCAGCGCCCCAGTGGATTTTTCATGGGTAGCTTCCAATGCTTGTCTTCCTTAGAGGAGGCCCAGTTCAATGAAGGGGTCTGCATCTTAACTAAGTCAGGCCAGCATAACCTTGGATCCGAGGCCATACACCTCCCCCTGGGGGGCAGCTTTCAGTGCCACTGCGACCTCCTGCACTGAGCGCACGGCCATCACCCCAGTGATGCAGCCAACGATCCTTCCTTACCATCATGCTGCGGTCCTGCTGGGTTACACCGGTGCTGCCTGAGCCACGCTTGGGGAAGGCTTCCTTTTTTCAGCACGTTTCAGAGCCCGGAGAATCATTCCTGGCATTTAGGGAGAGACGCCACACCAAGGACGGCCTTCTGCTGGAACAAAAGGAGACCCTGGACCCGACCGACACACAGGCAACACCTGCAGAATTCCGTCTGCGCACATTCTGGTCCAGACGGGCTGGATCCGCACCTCTTGGCGTCCTGGGAGCTTCACACCATCAGCGTTTGCATTTGCTAAACTTCATACTAAGTGCTCAGCTCCAAAATGTATGAAAATCTGCTCGGAAGTATTTACCACAGGCGTTGATGCCTCTTTTGAATGCACTGCCAGACGGGGCACCTTTTCTGCAAACCTCAATCCTGATTTTTGCACACCCCTCCATGTTAAAGAAACAAATACCTTTCCTGATGCTCAAATACTAGTAGTAACAGCTTTATGCTAAAATATGGGGGCAATTTTGGCCCCACTCTCCTTTTCCTTTGACTCTACCCACCTTAAGAATATGGCCCCCAGGAGTGTCTCTAAAATGACATTTTGACCTTGGCCTCCAATAGTTCTGCACCCTATGGCAGCTGGGGGTGATGCGAATTGTGGACCAACTCTTCCTGGGGGCATCACATTGAGAATGCTTGGATTCAGTGCAAGAATACGGCAGACTCTAGTCAGAAGGTTATACTAACATTTGATTATATATCATCTTTATGTAATGTTTATAGTTGGCATATCAAGAAGCCACTAAGAAAGTCTGGCCCGCAAAGTTGTCATCATGCTCCACACAAGTGTGTGTTGCTCACAGGAGGGATACAAGCTGGGGTCGATTGGCCTCCAACATGGTGCCCACAAGTCCCCCAGCTTCTGATCTCCATTTTATTTCTCAATAAACATTCCATTTTTATTTATTTTTATTTATTTAGCAGACTTATGGGCCGCCCCATTCGCCTAAGCCTCGGGGCGGCTTACAAATAAATAACTATCATTAATACAATAAAATACAGCTGGAGACATCCTGGCCAAGGTTGTTAAAATCAATAAATAAAATCAACCATTAAAATGACGTTTAAATAAAAAGGTCTTGGCCTGGCGCCGAAAAGCAAATAACGACAGCACCAGGCGGACCTCTCTGGGGAGTGTGTTCCATAGGTTGGGCGCCACCGCAGAGAAGGCCCTCCTCCAGGTGCTCACCCTCCTAATGTCCTTCACGGAGGGCTCCCGGAGAAGGGCCTCTGCCGCTGATCTCAAGGTGCGGGAGGGCACGTATGGATGTATACACTCCTTTAGGTAGCCAGGACCCAAGCCATTATTTTATTACAAATAAACTAGGAAGCAGGCATGGGGAACACTCTAGTTGGGTTCAGAAAGAACGGCTCTGTACTTTGGAGTTCCTCACACACTCTCCTTTGAATGCAGCTTCCTGGACAAGTCGCTTTACCCTCCGTCCCAGTCTTCAGGAAACGACCGTTTGGTGACCGGCCATACTTTCTGTGGCAGCCATCTGCTGAACGGGCAGTACCCCGCAGTGCTCCAAGCATGCCCAGACTTTCTCTCAAGACTCCAGAGACTGGGGACACTGGTACTTGTAGTGATTGCAGAAGCGTGGTGAAGGGTACCCCTTCCCAATTTTACTTCCATTGCAGCAAGTAAACAGCTCATTCCAAACAACTCATTGACCGCCCTAAATTATGCCATGCAAAGCTAGAAAAAAAGCCGCTGGGAGGGGAAAACCAGGAGCAGAATTTTGCATAGAAGGAGGATGCATTCCCCTAATATCTGGGACTGACACCACACACTGAATCCCTGATCCCAGAATTCCCCAATTCTAAATGTGGGTCTAGGTTTGTTGTTCACATATAGCCAAACAAAAGGAAAACTCTTCCCAAAACAGAGGGCCAAAAAATGTTGTCATGCATATGAGTATATGCAAATAAAGGCAGCATTACTAGATTTTGAGTAAACGGGCAACATTTCCTGCCCTGTGGGGAAGACGGCAGCCAGGTAATGGCTGCTCAGTGCTCCATCTCAGGGGTCTGGAAGTTGCTGGCTGAACACCATCCTTAGAGGTCTTATTTTCAAACTGGCCTTGGACTGACCAGCCCTTCAAAGGGAGACCATGTTCAAACCTGGAGCCTTAATACAGAGAATCAAACGAGGTAGCGAAAGATAATAAGGCACCGACCAGGAGTACTTACCAGGGCTTTATAAATATCAAAAGAGAAAGAAACGCAGGAAAAGAGCCAACTTCTAGTCTACCCCAGTTTCTCCTTGATCTGGTACCTTCCAACACACTGGCTGCTGATCACTGCCTACTAAACTGGGCTAGAAGAGCAACACCTAGTTTCTTGCAAATGAAAGTAAAAGTGCCTGGAATTCCCCAGCCGAACGACAAACTGCTAACTCCCATCTCTGCCACCAGACGTCTCAATGGAAGGCTAAATAAAATCTCATGCTACATTTTTTGCCTCTGCATTGCATTGGGCAAACTTGCAGAGTCGGGAATTCTCAGCCGGGAGTGACCGTCTGGCAAAGCCAAAAGGGGGCAGAGCCACCATGGGAGCCGGGGCTGCAGCAAGGACCCAGGAAAGCCAGATGTGGCCCACTGGCTGTGGTTCCCCACCTCTGCCTTGGGAGACAGAGCCTCAGGCTTACAGCGGTCTGGAAACAGAAACAGAGAACCCGTGCGAGTCAGAAGGGGTCTCCGGGCCGTCTAGTCTGACCCCCGGCTCCAGCCGGCTCCGCTCTCGACACTTTATCTATTTATTTATTTGTTTAAAGTTTGTATTTGCCGTCCCCGTTGCTACATAGCCTCGGGATGGCTCACGTAATTCCCAAGCTGCCAACGCCGCGGAATCCTGCAGACAAAACCTCGTCCTTCTTGCCTAGGGCAAAGCACCAGCCCTGCATCAGGAGATCTCAATGATCCTGTTCAAAAAGTACATTTCACTGAGTTCGCACACACTACCCCACCCCGGCAGCCATCTTACACACGCAACAGCTGTCAAAATGAACACCTGGCCTTCTGGGTGGACACTTGCCCATCTCCCCACCAACTTGGGAGCAGATAATGCAGCTAAGACTGCCACCTAAAAGTTGAGACAATGCACACTTATTTATTTATATCCTGTTTTTTTCCAGCAAACTCAAAGCCGCTTATATCATTTGCTGCCTCCTGCTCTCAGTTTTTTTCCTCACAATAACAACCCTGTGAGGTAGGCTGGGCTAGCGTCTGTGACTGGCACAAAGTCACCCAGGGGGCTCCGTGGCCGAGCAGGGATTTGACCCCAGATGGCCCGAGTCCCAGTCCCATGCTCTGAACCACAGTGCCAGACTTGGGCAAGAAGCGAAGTGGCAATTCTGAAGCAAGGCAGATTGTGATCAGTTCCAATTTCTTTGAATCACACTGGATTAAAAAGAAAGTTTTTTTGAAATGGAAAGCTTATAGTAAAATATTAGGTCTAAATATAAAAATATTGCATCACATCGATATAAACAACGGAGATGGAATAATAAATAATGTATGACAAACTTAATAAATGCTGTGCGATTAAACATAGTGAACAGTTGGAAAGTAAATACTGGGAAAATGGATTGTCCCAACCCTTACTGAAGTTCAGTAAGTTTTGAATGGGTGTTGTGGCTATTTTGACTGGGTGAATAATAGAAGAATTAAAGCTGGCTTTCTTCCTGAAAATATGCCATTTTCATTTGCACTTTAATTTATGTGCCTCAAAAGCATCAGGGTTGCTGTCACTACATTTATTGAGATTATCAATAAAGATTAGCTGTTCATTTAATTATTAACCAGACACTAACTGATTCAACAAAATTACTTTCCAGTTTGTTATGTTTGGAACCTTACTATTTATCCTTATTTTGCTTTTCCACTGAAAACTTTGAAAGCTGGGAAAATCATAGCCTTGACTATACGCACTTTTGTTGGCAGGGTGATATCTCTGCTTTTTAGTATGCTGTCTAGATTTTGCCATAGCTTTCCTCCCCAGGAGCAAATGTCTTTTAATTTCTTGGCTGCAGTCCCCATCTGCATTGACCTTGGAGCCCAGGAAAATAAAATCTGTCACTACCTCCATTTCTTCCCCATCTGTTTGCCAGGAAGTGAGAGGACCGGATGCCATGATCTTAGTTTTCCTAATGTTGAGCTTCAAGCCAACTTTTGCGCCCTCCTCCTTCACCCGCATCCAGAGGCTCTTTATGCAAAGTGCAAGGAGCTTGTCACAGCTCGACACGCTCATTAGATGCATGCAAATCCCTGAATGTGAGAGGCTTTGGGCTGCGCCTGGAAGTGTGGACCGTTCCCCGATCCTGAGGAAACTCTGGAGAGGCGAAGAAACTCGCCACACGGTGCAGATGAACAGATCCCATTTCATTTGTTGCATTTCTCAAACACTGAATGGCCACGGATAGTTCCATAAAGTTGCAAGTGAAAATCATAAAGCACAGAAGCAGGAGGAGGCATAATATACAAGTGGAAACAAAACTTCAGGGTACTAAGCCAAAATAGACTCTAGGTGCTGTGCGAAGATCTAGAAATGTGGCAACACACATTTAAAAACAACCAAAATGGAACGCACAAAAGCATTTAAAAACCTGCTTTGTTAAGAATACTCAGTCCCCGCCTTTGGTGCAAAAGCAATTTGAGGTAGCCTTCAACAAAGAATAAATACGTTAAAAGTGTATCCTTAAACACCCCCCCGCCAAAAAAAAAAAAAAAAAGCTGCAACAAACTAATAAATACAGTTGGGCACTTGAGACCTAGCTCACTGCAGTAATTCCCTTGCTCCTGAAGAGTCCGGCAGTGATGGAGACAAACACCCTCCAGTCCCCTAGCATGGCTTAGCAGGGCGTCCTCTACCGAGAGACATAGCCCTGTTGGGCTTGACAGGGCGTAGGACTGCAAGATCCGTCTGCCCAGCCTCTCAGAGGAGCTCGGAAGGTGTGCAGTGTTCATAAGCTCATTCTGGCTGCTGCTCTTTTAAGCAGCAAGTTTCAAGGAGACCAGGGCAGGATGTGAGAGAAGTGCGGTAAGACATCTTAATTTTAACCTTTAAAAAGGCCATGAGGAGAGGATGGCATCAAGGCAGCCAGCGCCAGGGTGCGATCAGCAGTGAGGCAGGGGAGGGAAAACATGGGAAGCCCCTTTCAAATAGATGCTTGGAAGAAGGAGAGAGGCCCTGTACACTGGGGGAATTGCTCCAGGCGAAAAACCCTTAAAAATGGATGTTTTTACATTCAAAATACACCATCGGGGGTATACTTTCCCACTTCTTGGCCTGTTGGGCCTTCATTTCTGCCTTTCCTGAAGTGCTCTGAGATTTGTATTAAGGAAAGCACATCAGATAAATGAGCAAATGGTAAGCTGTGCTCCAGAGCATGTTCAGAGCACTGATACGGCCAGAAGGATATGTCTGGAATGCTTTCTCCGGGACTGTAGCCAGCAGCCAACCCTGGCTGGGTTGGAATGATGGGACTTGCAGTCCAGCCCTGCGGAAGGCCCCAGACTGGGGCAGGTTGGCATATGGGGGTGTGTATCCAGCAGCACCCCCTTCGCTTATGCCTGCGTTTTGTCAAGGCTGAAAAGGCGTCTGCGAAGGCGAGGGCTGCATCTTTTAGGGCTGGGAAAGGGGCTAGCACGCACTCCCTCTTGGCTCCAGCTCCCCGGAATCCCTTCTCACGGAGAGAACCACCACCAAAGCCCAACAGCCGCAAGGCCCGCGCCTCGCAGACCCTTCCCACGCGAGACCAGCCCTCCGCGTGCCGCTCGTCCGCGTGCCCTTCGGCGGGTGTGCCAACCTGGTCAGGCCCGCGTAGGAGGCAGAGGGCGCCTGAGGCAGGGCCCTTCGAAACGTGGCTCCCAGATGCATTTTTGATGACCAGCCAGCCTTCCAGAGCGATGCCCCCTCTGCCTGTTGCTGCGAGCCAGCTGAGGATGATGGGATTGAAGACCCACACATCTGGAGCATGGCCCCTTGGCAAAATGCTGGGCACTGGGGCTTAATCATCCCAAGCACAGCTGCTCCAAGCTGCCTCCTCCAACAAATGAAAACTGAGGCAGGATTTCCAGGCAGGCCGGAGCCCCTGTGCTCCCCCTCTTGCAGTCCGTAGTCCGGTCCCTCTTTTACTAGTTCAACACCCTTCCCTTTGATCCTTTCTAAAATACAAGCAAGCAAAGTGCTACGGCAAGCAACCTAAGCAGCCATCCAAGGGGCAGTGGCGCCCCCTGGAGCCCGGACACTGCAAGCGAAACCCGACCTGGAAGTCCTCGTCCGACTCGCTTTGCCTACCTGCAGCAAAAAGTGAGCGACGGCACTTCTCCAGAGCGATCGCACCCAGTCGCGTCTCCCTGCTCTCCAGACTCCTTGTCATGACTGTGGGAACCGCCATCAAAGCTGCATCCGCCCGCCTCTCCCTCCTCCGGCAGGAGCCACCGAAATACGAAAGTGAAACTTAACCAGACGGGAGGCTTAGCCAGAAATAGGTCACTTTACGGGAAAACATGTGATTCGAAGCATGGGCAGGAAGAAGCGCATGGCCTGCCCAGACCAGGTGCCAGGCGGCCATGCTGGCGGTGCAGCGTCTTTCGCATTGTTCTGTGTGGGCTTGCTGAGTTCTTCCCAGCGGTTTCACACCATTGACTCACCCTGTAGAGATCAAAAAAGGGGATCTGGTTTCCCAAGGGGTGAGCAGGAAAGGGAAGAAAAAGAGAAAAAACCTGAGTGCAAAAGAACCGCAACCATTCAGAATCAGACCGGACCTATAAAACCACGGCTGGGTCATTTGGGAGAACTGTGCTAAAATAAAATAAAATAAAATAAATAAAAGCAGCAAAGCAAACTTGGCACCTGCCTGGCATCTGTTAGTTTTTAGATAGAGTGAAAAATGTTTTCTTTCTCCCCCCACCCTTTCCTTCCTCGGATTTTAAATAATTGCTGAGAACATAATCCTGTGCATAATCAGGCAGAAAAAGCCTGCAACGCAGGGGATGAAGCCGGTCGCAGGCTTACCTGGGAAGAGGTCCTGATGAGCACATGGGGCAGGCCCAGTCCCGACGCGGAGGAGACGCCGGCCTCAGGGGCAGGCGCTGGGAGGCGGCAGAAAGATGCTGCGGGAGATCCGTGTGCTGTGCAGTCCGGGCCGACACAGTGCCTGACTCCCAGCGGAGGAGGCCCTCCCACCGCCAGTCCAGGGGGAAGATCCAGCCACCAGTGCCGCTGCGATGCAGCGGGGCATCCAAGGTTTTCTGCGGAGCGCTGGGAATTCTTTATAAAGTTTGTTTTATTAATATTCCCAAATGGTGAGACCTTTTCAGTCGAAGCCACACTTTATGGGCTGAAAAATTCATGCCAGTCCTGTT